CTGACATTACAAACAGATACTTGAATTTTATATAGATGTATAGATTAATTTATGTGCACCATTTAGAAATGTTCTGTCAAGGCTGCCATTATGGTTGTTACAACAAAGCTTACCTAGTTGCTGTATAGAACACGTTAAAGAAAAAACTAAATCGAATTACCACATACCTACATAATCTGCAAAGAGCCTATTCCATATTAGCAAAGTAGCGGTCGATCGACAGACGCTCAGACCGGACATCGAGATCCGAGTCCCGTGGTGCGGTCGTTCACCAGCTCCCTGGCCCTTTGCGCCGCCTACGGGACCGCGAAACCAAGCTACGTGGCTTTACCTACTCACCTACAAAGAACGAACATACAAACACAGTACTTTCTCTTAGACTAGAAAATGACATACTTATCCAATTTCTTAATACATATAAGGCAATATAGTTTTAAAATATGTATATTACTGATAATGGCATCCTTAGTCGCCTACAGATCAGTAAAAACTTTATCAAAACGGACTTACCGGTTAATTATAATGAAATAGATCATTACTAAATACAGGTAAATTTAAAACGACAAAAAGCCATAAAATGGTCATCGTTCAAAACAGTTTAGAATTTAATGTAGGTACTTAAAACGAATGCTGATAGTATGACGAGTAGAAAATGCTCTTCTTACAAAGATCGAAAGTGCAGTGGTTTTTTTTTTATGGAATAGGGGGCAAACGAGCAGTCGTGTCACCTGATCGAAAGCGACTACCGCCGACCATGAACACCTGTAACTCAGGAGTCACAAGCGCGTTGCCAGCCTTTGAGGAAGGAGCAGGCTCTCTTCTTGAGGGTTTGAAGGTTGTATCGGTTTAGAAATACCGCAGCTGATAACTTGTTCCACATATTGGTAGTGCGAGGCAAAAAGTGTCTTGAAAAGCGCACAGTGATTAGTGGGGATGAAAATATTGCCGTGTGGAACGATGGCGGAAGGTTGCGGCTGGTATTAGTCCGAAAAATTCCTCGGAGCACTCTCCATGATATATACGATAGAGAATGCAGAGCGGTCGCAAATCTTTTGGCTATCGACGATTCAAGTCACTCTTCTTTGTATGCGGTCCAAAGGGACAAGCTGTGAGGATGGAGTAGGAAAAGAGGTACTGTTTTGTCCCTGCATAGACATGAGAACAGTATTCCATATGCGGTCGGACTTGCGCCTTATAGAATTGGAGGCGATGGGCTGGAGTGAAGTACTGCCTCGATCTGTTCAGCACATCGAGCTTCTTCGAGACCAATTTGACCTTACCCTTTAAATAACAGCGAAACTGGACTTCGATATCTCGATGCCTAGGATTGCAATACTGGCTGAGGCAGTTAGAGAGGTGCTCTCGAACTGAAGCGATACGACAAACAGTATCTTTTTTGTGGTGAACGTGCAAACCTGTGTCTTTTGGGTTAAAATAGACAGGATTCAGTCGACCCCAAGCTGAAACCTCCGCCAAGGAAGCTGCAACCTCAAACAAAGTTCGTTTCAACTCTCGATGACGTTTTCCCGAGAAATATTGGACGTAAAGAATTCGCCTAGGAAATCGACTTTCTCCTTGCCATCATGGGCCTATAGAAATTCCCCTTGCACGTGTTCCAAAAGGTAATTACACCAGTCTCTTATCAATCCCGCTGATGTACTCCGTATCCGCCTTAGCAATGGCTCTTTTGAGGGACCTGGAGGCAAAGTTGTGTGATTTTTTTAGCGTGCTAGTATTTACATTACCTACCGTCGCTGCATTTGCCCATGCTTAGTAACATTCTTGCTTTCGGCGGTATTGCCTGCAAGACAGATCCTGTCTGTCTAACTCAAAATATCTTCATTTCATAAAAAGTTTGAAAAAGCTTTGTAAACTTTGTAACCGTATCAGCGGTCAGCAGAAGGTCCAACAGTGAACACAAAATGGAGAAGTCCCGTCCTTCAAGATTGCCGGCGAGAACTGATATCATCTTTGACGTAAACACACACTCCAGCCCTAGCAACGAAGAAGTGTTCCAGATGATAACCAGGGTAGGAGAGGTAGTCCGATGGAGATGATATCTGCGTCTCAGTTAAAAAGAGCACCCCGGCTTCACTGTCTCGAGGTGGTGGTGGACAGCGTTAAGGTTGGAGTGTAGACCGCTGATATTGCAGAAGTCCACGTCTAGCGTGGTGAGGGGTGGCCTGCTGCTCTTGCCGCGGGTAGATATTTTGTTAAGCGTTAGTTTTGCCAAAAAAAATATGCGGGGGAGCCGTCTAGCCATGCTCAGATGCATGCTGTTCTGAGCGTGGACGTCCAGAGTGGAATTATCTAATGCTAGCGCAGCTAGTACGGGTAGACTGCTGTTCAACGACGCTATCATATATATATAGGTGGGAGGGGGTGGGATTTGGGATACAGAAACACCACTCGGTGAAATGGTGGTATCGCATCGAACCAGACGACCCATTTTTGCCGAAGCATGGCTCGCCCACGGTAGTTTATACGCTTGTCGAGGCTTGGCAAACGTCTAGAAGCTCCAAGCCTTTACAAACGCCATTTAGGTACACGCTTGCGAGTGTGTTAGTGTATTCTGAACAGGCAAACATAGCAGATGTGGACGTATTTTTATTCAAAATATGTGACGACACGATACGATGATTTAAAAAAAAACCTCTAGTCCTACTGCTCAACTAACTATTCAACCAGTATAGCATTGAGACCGAGTGTTGATTTCCGACTGCTCAACTATTATCAAATTGAGCAGTAGGAACAAGCACGCGCCAACAAGTAAATACGTAGTAAGCGCTTGCCGCAAGCTTAATTTGATCTGTGTTAAAAAACCGACTAGCCCCGATCGACGATTAAAATTTGGCATCGTACACATACAAACATTATGATTTTAATGTAATGTATATTTTATGTATCCATTTTTAGAATCTACATGTTTAGGCTCTGCATCAATTGTGCATGAAATAAAAACAAGTATCTTTGTTAACAAGTCAAAATATAAATACGAACATTCATCTCTCCCCCAGTTGTCAATGTTTGTTGCTATCTCACTCTACATAATTAGACGTCTACAACACCTACTAAATGTTGCTAGTGTTATTTTTTATACAATAATGGTATTATTTCTCCGGTAGATAGATTGACTTCTTTCTTAAACTTTTTTAATCTTCGGATTTTTCTGTTTAATTAGAAGTATTGTCGAGAGTATCCATAGACTAGGGCAAGATTAGTTCTGTGGAAACTAGGGGGAAAAGTCTCTCCGCCGCGCCGCCAGACAATATCGGGTTGTTACCAAACGTCGAAAAATATTATTTCTGTAGTAGCAATATCAACTTTATCAGAATTGAAATACTCTGATTAAAATCTTGTGCCCATATTGTCACGGCCGTCAATAAGGGGTATCCTTTGAAAAATGAGAACATGTTCAAGAATGAATGCAAAGGACAATGGCATGCGTGCATGGGACTTTTGTACCGCTTTGCGAATCTTATGCTAGGGAATTTTGTTGGCTGGTAATAGCAATTACAATATTAACTGTCAAATTTGAGAACTTTGCTTTTAAAAGTTATTTCAGTTTGTGGTTTACATTTAGGCTGTACCTACTTAGGTCGATAACAACGACAGTTGGCTGTCATTGCTCGATTAATATTAGATAAAACCCACAAGCGTTATTGTAGCAATGCTATGTGCAAACCTTTTACCGTGTATTTTTATAGTAATAATATCCTTGCGATTTAATAACGTTGACTGTAGAAAGGTTTAGGCAGATAACAGTATTAAACCGACATACACAAGTGTATACGACATACACAATACACTACTGTTGCCGTTTAGATTCCATTTATCATCATATCATATCATCCCTGTAAACTTTTTCTACCAATCATTTCATCATATGGTTATGATTGAAAAGTAGCAATAATTTCAATCACTACCCCGTACCAAATATAACTTAATTTAAGATAATGATTCAAACATTTGCTGTAATGCTGAGAAGCTGAATGATGCGTGACTATTTACGAATATCGAGTTTTCTATTATGGGCTGAATTTTCGGTCCGTAATTGGCTGAAACCGCAACCGCAACCAAACCTCTTCGTAATGTTATTAAAATATATCAAAAAAATAAAAAAGATTTAATGTCTATGATAAACATCCAAAACCTTATTGGTTTTATTTTCCACTAGCTGACCCGCGCAACTTCGTCTGCGTCTCTCAATAGTAATAAATTTTCTCCGTTTTTGAAACATTCTTCATTGGTGCTCCGCTCCTATTGGTCTTAGCGTGATGATATATAGCCTATAGCCTTCCTCGATAAATGGGCTATCTAACACTGAAAGAATTTTTCAAATCGAACCAGTAGTTCCTGAGATTATCGCGTTCAAACAAACAAACAAACAAACAAACTCTTCAGCTTTATAATATTAGTATAGATTTAACATTATTTTAAACACACTGGATTCATGCGTTGCCCTTTCATTTAACGATTAACCAAACTATAAAAAGATGTTGTGATAACAGACATGTTGGAAATTTTGCTTTATGGTATAAAACTTTTATTATTATTATTTATTTTTTAAGTTTTGTCCTAGATGAATATTTCTACTAATTATTCTTATATGCATAGAGACTAACTGTGTATAACACATATTGTATATTAACAGCACAGCTTAACTTTTATTGAATGGTGTTTAATTTTTTTGGTAGTTTATTTCATATCAATGGCAACACTGACATGACAGCCAGCCAGCTGTGTGGAATGGATTGAAAAATAACTCCGACCCGAAAACTGTAGCTCTGTCCTTGATGTGTCATCCATTACAATAGTTTTTATAAAACGTGGTGCTTGACAATCTGCAAATTCTTAGTATTTAAAGTGTTTACCACTTTTTGTCACAGTTTTAGATTCTTGGTATAGCTTCTCGGGTGACAGGTAGTGCTAATTGTTAAAATGTTTATGTAACGCAGCATTGTTCAAATGCTGACTCTGTATTTCATCTCTTGTTCCAGATAGCTACGTGGTGTGTCATTTATCGTGCAGTGATATACGTGTTAAATACGACCAGTACGTGCATCGCTGACGGTGAGACTAGTGTGGAGTGGTGTGATGTGGTAGTGTGTCAGTGAGCATTATCGCAGTGGATGCGGAGACAGCGTTTTAGCGCTCGCCCTGGCATGGTGCCGGGCAGGTAGCGCGCGCGGGCGGCCTGCGCAGGCCCCACACAAGCAGCCGCGTGTTTCCCTCAGCGTCGTCTATGGCCGAGCAACACATCACACCGTCGTCGCACTCTGCACTCACGAGAGAGTCCAGCGGGTAAGTCCATGATCGTAAATGCATTATATGCATAAAAAAACTTAACAAAATATACCAACATTACACAAAGGAAATAGCTTCTATGCAAACAAATATCATCAGAATGCATTCTTAGACTTTGTGTGAGCTGATTGTGTCTCGGCATTCTTTTGTATCTGTGAGGTGACAGATTAAGAATACAGAGTGTCACCATCTCTATTCATCCTATAGCTGACGTGAGAGCTGACTAAGGGAGCAACCTGTGCAGGACAACAGCACTTCAAAAAGAAGGAAATCTTGAAACAAACCCTATACCAACCCGTCTGGCCAACATGGTATAGTAGGCAAAAACCACTGTTGTAAGTAGAGGCCTGTGTCTTGCAGTGGACTGTCAGGGGCTGTTGATGATTCTCTTGTATCAAGAGTCAGACTCGCAAATATATGTATGTATTTAAAATGCACTTCTTCAGAAATAATTTGTAATTTTAACAATGGGAGAGCTTCAACAGATTGTAGTGCCCATATTGTGGGCTGGCTCGATCAAAGTTATACTACTGTCTCACAGCTGGTGTTGAGCAAATTTTTGCCTTTTCTTGTACATAGGGGGCAGTAGTTACTTACCATCAGGTGACCCATCTGCATATTTGGCCTCTGTACCATAAAAAGGAAAAATATATGTCATGATGTACATGCTTTAAATACCAGAAATAGAAATAAACTTGTTATACATGCCTCTAAGAGATAAACAAGTCATTTTGAGGTCAATGTGTTGGTGACCTATCTGCATGTTTGGCCTCTGTACCATAAAAAGGAAAAATATATGTCATGATGTACATGCTTTAAATACCAGAAATAGAAATAATCTTGTTATACCTGCCGTTAAGCTCCAAGAGATAAACAAGTCATTTCAAGGTCAATGTGTCTGATTTTATAATAAAATCCTAAATACAAGACTTAAGTGTAAACAAATTTAAAACCATAGTGAAGCCTAGGCTGTGTCGGAAGGGTTATTACTCGATTGTGGATTATATAGAAAAAAGAAAGCTTGGGATTAATTTAGCACAGGCTATTTCTTAAGTGGAAATGTAGTGTAGACTAGTGTGTTTTTTATTTATTTTCTAATTTTTATGTTTTACTTCACTTTTAATTCTATTTCATCTGTTTTCTTTATCTTGTTTCCTCTTCATTGTTTTACCGACCTGACATACTGGCTCACACATCAAAACGATGTGATATATTTAATGATGCAACTGTATCTAGCTTTTATTAAAAAAGAGTGCCCATGGGCATTAAGCTCAACCCCTTGGGTACCACACGATCTCCTTTGAGGCGGCGAGTCACCATGGGACCTGGAGGTGAGAGCGCTTATGTCTCTGTATCAGATGCGTAAGGAAACGAGGGGGTTCGGTCGGAGTCCTATAACCCGAGAAATCGAGGACCAGACTCCAAGTCTTCGTGGAAGAGTACAATGAATGTCTTGGGCAACCAAGCGACGAGTACGCCGTTATTGTGGAGATAAGACCCGTTACGGAGGATTGGCTCGAGAGGTGATGCAGGTTATCACCGGGAAAGGATGCTTTGGAGTTGACCTGTGTCTGATCCGCAGGGAGTCAACGCCTGAGTGCCACCACTGCGATGGCCGGAACTCGGACACGGCGGTCTACGGTCAGGTCTTACAAGAAGGGCATCAATAAACTGCCAATGCGTTGGCAAAGATGCGTCGATTGCATGGGTGATTACTTCGAATAACAGAAACAAAAAAGTTTGAAAAAATAAGTACTTTCACTTATTGCATACAAAACGGCTATTTCATAGGTAAATACCTATTATTAGTAAATTATGTGGAAATTATGAAATATAAATGACTCTAATGCCCACAAATATTTTTTACAAATTATTTGTGGTCATGATGAGTCATTTATGGTAAGCGAAACTTACCTGTACTGTACAGTGCCAAGAAAAGTGGTGACTAGTTACTTACTGAACCACAAAGTATTTGAAGTAGTAGCATTGAAGGCCAATAAGGTAGCTATGTCTGTCTGTTGCGAGCACTTAACTGTCAAGATTACAATCAAGTAGATGCCTGTCACTTAGAAAGAAATCAGAGATGGGTAAGTAGTCTCTCCTCTGACCATTTCGCCTTTATACTTAACTTGAGAAAACTCAAGAAACAGGGTACCCTAACTTGGTCGGATAGGTAGGTAGGAGGACTGCTGCTTAGCCTGATAGCCACTCCAGACCACAATTGTGTTACTATTAACCTCTGATATGCCGCTACACTGTACAGTGCTTACCGGTGAAAGCACTTTACAGTGTAGTGGCATGTTAGAGGGGTGGCATATCAGGGGTGATTATAATAATTGGAGACACCTCACTACCGCCCATCATCATGAATCATCATCAACAGTCTTTAATAGTCCACTGCTAGACATAGGCCTCTCTTAAGAAAAGAGATTTTGGCCTTCTATACAATGCTGGCCAGATGGGTTGGTACAGGGGTTGTTTCAAGTTCTGTCGGACGCCCAATTTGGTTTTCGAGCGGGGCGTTCGACGGTCGACGCTGTGTTGCACCTCAGGACTGTGGCGGCGTGCTGTTGGCGGTGTCGTTGGACATCGCCAACGCATTCAACAGTCTGCCATTCAGCTGCATCAGGGAAGCATTCCACTATCATGGAGTGCCAGAGTACCTGAGGCGGCTAATGGCAGACTAGTTAGAGGAGGGTACCGTCATGTACGAGGACTAAGATGGTGCTTTGAGGCGTCGGCTCATGTCGTACGGTGTTCCGCAGGGGTCTGTTCTTGCACCACTCTTGTGGCACATGGGTTACGAATGGGCCTTTCCAGGTCGCCTCCCCCCCGGGCTGGGCGTTATTTGTTACGCCGATGACACGCTAGTTACAGCCCGGGGGGCGGACTTTCAAGAGGCTGCGCGCCTAGCCACCAGGGGAGTCTTTCTAGTGGTCGGGCGCATTGAGGCGCCCGACCACTAGAGAGACTGGTGGCCCTGGATAAGACGGAGGCCCTATTGTTCCATGGGCCTCGTCGTGGTCGATTCGGTCCTCATGCCGGTTCAGGCCTAGATGAAGTATCTGGGCCTGATTCTTGACGGGAGGTGGCTTTTCGACGATCTCTTCCGACAGCTTGCTCCACAGCTGGTCGACGCTGCTTCTGCTTTAGAGCGACTTTTTCCCAATTTGGGAGGAGCCAGCGTCGCGACAAGACGGCTGTACACGGGGGTTGTCCATTCAATAGCACTGTACGGTGCACCGGTGTGGGCGGCGGCTCTGACCGCCCAGAATAGGGCACACCTCTGGCGCCCTCAGAGGATATTGGCGGTTAGAGCCATTACCGCACCGTATCGACGGAGGCGGCGTGCGCGTTAGCCGGAACGCCCCCGTGGGAATTGGAGGCGAAAGTGCTTGCCGAAGTATATCGGCGGACGGCTGAGCTCCGGGCGGATAGCGGCTTTCGCCCCCGCCCGAAGAGATACGCGTGTGGCATGAGGCCGCTTGCCGAGCCACGATGGCTCGTTGGTCGTCCCGACCGTCATCGTCGAGTGGGCAGGGCGGCAGCACGGGACCCTTTCCTTCCGGCTGACGCAGGTCCTTTCCGGGCACGGCTGCTTCTTGAAGTACCTACTCGGTCGCTAGGAGGGAATTGAGTCTCGCCTGTCACCACTGCGATTGCAGTAAGGACACGGCTCAACACACGCTGGCAACTTACCCGGCTTGGGGTCCACAGCGCCGACTCCTCATTGCAGTCATTGCAGGGGATCTCTCGCTACCGGCCGTCATACGCTCCATGGCCGGTAGTGACAGATGTTTCACCGCGGTCCCATCCTTCTGCGAAGACGTCATCTCGCAGAAGGAGGCGGCGGAGAGGGCCCGGGAGGACAACCTCCATTCAGACCCAATCCGTCGCCGTCGAACCGGGCGGTGGAGGCGCGCCTACCACCGCCCGCGGTGGCCGCGGGTAGACGGGACGGGTTTTCCCCTCCACCCGCCATGCTGGATGTCGCCTAAATGGAGAATGTTTTTACATTCTCCATTTAGGCGGTACCGGTACGGACAGAAGGTGGTACCGACAGGCGCTAGGAGGGGTTCGAATGTCCTAATAACAGCAGTTCCCGGATCCCTCCTACTACAGGCGCAGAGTGGCACACCGTGTGGTTTTAGCTGGTCCGATTCCGACACACCACCCCGCCGCAGACCCGGGTGGGGTGACGGCCCGAGGGGGTTTCCACACGTAAAAAAAAGGGTTTGTTTCAAGTCTGGTCCTGCTAAGGTAGCGACTGTCTGCAGATTCTGTCGGCCTACAGACCCATCGTGTGCTGAACAAGGCGTGGACAAGGCGGCAAAATTTACATAAACGATGCCCGGAAAAAAGTAACAAAACTAGTACATAAACCAACCTATACTGTGCGAGGTTATAACTGGAATACGAAGAAATGAATGGAAAGTATAAAATATCGGTGTGTGTGTGTACATTGCCAGATAAAAACATAATATTATGTATCCCATAAACTCAATGATATCTTATTACACTAAAACAGTTTCCCCTGAATTAAGGTGATAAAAATGATCAAGTAATCGGTTTTGGCTGAGGTAAAGTTAAGCTAAACTTGAAAGTTAAAGATTTTATGATAGAAAAGTGAGTCGCGTAATTTTCTACAGAATATAACGTTTTGATTACGGCTAGTGATGTAATTTCTACCATTATTCATTAATTTTCAAAGTGGAAGTGCAGGTTGTACATATTTGTCGCACAAGAAGAAACTCAGGTGTCTTGCAATTTGAAAACTACGTGTTTTTAATCATAAAGCTTTTCAACATTAACTTTAATTTTTAGGTGTCGAATTTTAATTACTTTGGTAACAGATATTACATGTTATCTCGATAATCCTGTACCTTGACCTTTTACTATTGGAAGAATAATCTATTCTTAAGATGTGATATTTATGGCTTTTTAATAATGGTCAGTGGTAAAATTTAAATGGCATTTTGTCCTTTGACAGGTCTTCTCCTAGCAGGGTGGTGGGCGGTCGGTGGTTGCGTCAGGTGCGTCGAACTAGCCACAGCCGTCGGAGTAGACGCAACGTGACGTCACCTCTACCGCGCTCCACCAGTAGACAGTCCAGCCGCGCGTCAGACGCTGAGCCTGTGGAGCTACGCAGGAGCTCGCGCCTAATCAGCACTCTGCCCCGGTCTGACTATTCTATCACCGAGCGCTGGTCTTACGGCACAGACGTATACGAGACACGCTGCGATACTACCGACTTCAAGGGTGGAGACACCCACAATTCGTCCGTTCACCCGAAACGCGGACGTACTTCCTCGCATGACAGGAAAAAACGTAAGAGCATATCAAACAATAAGAGTGCAGAAGAGTGCGTCGCGTATTGCACACGCTCACGGACTGCTCTTAAATTAAGTGAGAGTGCTTGTGAGCAAAATTCGCATAGTTTAAAATCGCATACGTTACCATATTTCCCGTTGAATCAAAACGCAACAGTTACTTCTACACAAGCCAATCAGTCTGAGGGTGGTCTGTTGCCATTGGACGAAAGAGACTTTGCATATTCACCTTTCAGCTCGTCGACTGTCACAGAATTACTTGACTCGGACTATTCTGTATACAGTCCGACAGCTAGTCGAAGGAAAGGTAAAAAGAGAAAGCGATCATCGCATCGCTCCTTATCAAGTAGAAAGAGTAGCTGTCTTTTCAATCTCGACGAATACCGAAAGAAATTTAAAATAGATCCCCAGAGTAAAGACGATACGGATACTAATAGTACTGAAAAAACATCATCTAAATACGAAACAGACAAAGCTGAACATCCTTCTGCTACTCAGACTTCGTGCACGTACCTTTTGCGGAAGAGAAACAGTAACTTTGGACCACCTACTTCAACAGTTATTAGTGAAAATTCAGGTAATAGACGCTTATTACTCACTCACACACTTTTTTTCACCCCAGTACGTAACGATTAGACAAGTAATAGAGCTGAGCCAAAAGTACTGAGCACCCAAGCCGGTGTCAAGCTATTCTTTCGTCGCTTCGTCGTCGAGTGAATGAGGAGTGTGATTACCGGAGCCTTACTCCCTCGCCCCTTATCTTAATTTTAGGGGACGCAACGGGCGGCAACGCACTTCTGACTTTTGGATTGCAGTTATTTACCATGAGCTGACCTGTCTGCTCGTTTGCCCCCTTATACCATAAAAGAAAGAAAGAAAAGCCCTCTCATCCCAAAATTATATCGTCTAACAACGTTTTTGTTATCGTCAGATTGATTCTTCCTGGCTTTTCCTGGCTCGAGCAGAAATTACTCTCTTAATTTCTACAACTCATCAGAAATCTCTTTGTTTAATTATACTCTGTAACGGATGGTTAGCTAGAAACTGGTTATCCCTATATGTCCGATTCTGCGCCTATTTTAGGTGATTGAAGAAACTTAGGATTTTGGAAATCTTTACCTGTTATTTCTCTTGCTCATGCGCAAGATTTTCACACCTTATTCTAATGTAAGTTCATTTGGTTTGGCATATATTAATTACAACGACGATATTACTAGAATGTTGTAAAACCAAACATCAAAAGCACATTAGTGGATGTGTTCGCTACGACCGATTACATTGTTATTAAACCCACATGTTTTATATTTTGATTGTGTTGCAATGGCATTACTTAAAATAAAAACAACTTTCTTCGTTTCTTTATTGATAGCTATGTCTGAGGTTTTTTAAACCTGTTTGGAAGCTGCAAATTCTGGTGCGTCTTTCCATAGTCAGTACTTTTAGCCAATTCTGAATTATATGTTTTAGTTGACTTTGTATAGATTTTACGTCGAAGCTTATCTAGAGTTGTTATCACAAATATCAAGCGGAGTCATTCATCGCCGATAATTTATACATAACACTGTTATTGCAGTGAGCCCGGCTGTCGGAGACTTGGTATACAATCAAACAGGATCAGAGCGAAAGAGTATCTCAGACAGTCTTCCTAGCACTGCTACTCCGCCTCCATTTAAAGATATCATAGGTAATTACTTTTTTTCTATACTCTAGATTCAGTTATGTCCATGAGCAATAAAAAATAATAATTTGTCAATGATATTGTTTCACAGAAGCGAGTTCATCGAAGGCGCAGAGTTCTTCAAGCAAACTACTAATAGTACCACGAGATCTTCCATACCTTCGTCAAACTAACGCAAGAAGGGTAAATAGTTTTCACTTATATAATCTAGCTACGCCCCACGGTGTTACCCGCATTTGTTGTTGTATCTTTCTCATCCCACGGGAGCACTAAAAAGTAGCCTGTGCTATTCCAGACGATAATATATCTCTGAGCCATTCATGCAGATCCGTTCAGCCGTTTTTCAGTGAAAGAGTTACAAACATCAATACATCCATCCTTTAAATTAGTAGGATGTAATTACCAACAACTAAAATTAATTAAATGGATATCAGATAGTCATTTGCAAAAATTACATCTTAACGTTGAACGTCATTATCAGTTAAGTCTTACGGTGTCAGTCTAATAAAGAACCTCGTCACGAACAGTCGCGTTAATTTATAGATTATATTATAAGGAATTAATGTAACAACGGTGCGTCGTGTCAATAAATATGCGTATATTTACCGTGGTTAGTGACCGTTATGTTGTATGTAGAGTATCGCAGCTGCAACGGGTGCGACCCTGGGTGCTTGCTTGACGAGGGGTGCCAGTACTTCGCAGCGTCAGAGGCAAGACACTGCGTCTAAGAGACAGGTACATTTCATATCGTGTCTGTAAACTATCAATAAATGAATTTACAATGACACTAATGCGAAATTGATAGCAAAAGTAATAGAATTAATTGAATAGGACACAATAGCTCGACTCATTACTGCATTAAGACTATAAATGTATGCTGTTATATTGAAAATGTAATTATAAAGCAATTAACTCTGTGTAAACAACTTAGATGTTTCATTATATAATAAATATTGATGTATATTTCTGTTGCGTTGTACGCAGGTATCTGGCAGCGAGGGCGCGGGCACCAGCGCGGCAGGCGGGCGGCGAGCGCGAGCTCGCGACATGCCGCAGCCGCAGCCAGCGTCCACGCGTCGAGACAAACGAGGTAGTCTGACAACTCGATGAAACCTTTTCTTAATCACTTTTTATTCCATATCAGTCTTAATACTACACGATACCAGTTTTATGTCAATAATCCAATTCGATCAATCCTTTTCCAACAACATCTACACATCTACACGATGCTACACATCATAATCTAAAATGCACATATTGAAATATATTGGTGTAATAAATTGCAAATAAAGATTTTATTTCATGATAATAGGTAAAAGCAGCCTGGGTTCCTGTGCCAGTACTGGTGGTGCGTCCAGCCGGTCACACCCCCAGCCTTTAACAACGGTACTTTATTTTATAATTATCACCATATCAAGCCATCGACTTTTGTAGCTATCAGTTGACATTATCTTTATTTTATGAAACAATGAATGATTTGATTCGAAAAATTAAAAATTTGCATGCAAATAAATATTACGAAATGATCAGATAGAAGTGTTCAGCCCCATAACACCGTAGTAAAGAGCCCTCTAGAAGAAAGAAATCCTTCTTATGGTACACCAGAATCAGTCACTTGGTGAAGGAACACCGTTTTTTAATTTGCCAATTCGAGTCGAACACCTTTGCTTAGCCTCGGCAAAATAATGAGCCGTGATTGTTTCCACGAGTGGAAAAATGTTACTGTTATTTTAATATTATATTTGATTTACTTCAGGGTGCCGTGGCATCAACATCGTCGACCCCGCCGGCGTCAGCATCGGCTTCAATGCCCGACAACGCGACGAACGATGCAAAGCCTAAGGGCAAAGGTTCTTACTTCACTTTCCCGAATCTTTAAATCTTTTAGAAGAATATAGATTTCATGTATGTTATGATGTCAGATGTAAGCTATCACGACTTACAAGAATGTAACGAAGTTTACCTCGGCGCTGTAAAACGTACCGGCCTATAATAAGCGTTACACAAACGTGCATTGATCATGAAAACATTGTTTCAGTGGCATCGTCAGCCGAAGAATGCGTGGGCGGTGGCAGTGGAGGTGGTGGCTCAGGTGGCGCTGGAGTTTCGCTCGGCAGTGGAGCGAACAACGAAGAGTCGTCCTCTGAAGAGGGGGAGGTTGGTCGGCTCCAAGCGTTGTTGGAGGCTCGTGGCTTACCACCGCATTTACTAGGAGCTTTGGGCCCGCGCATGCAGCACTTACTCCACAGAACTGTCACTGCAAATTCTGGTAAGCAACCATAAATGTATTGCCATTTAGGTTCTGCAATAAATTTATTAATTCGCTCTTTTTCTATTGTATTATAAACTTGTATTATTGTATTATATATATTTAACCAATTGCTTGCTTGCCATGCTTATAAAACAAAACAAATAAAATATTTAAAAAACGTAATGTAGTTGTACAAAAACTTAAAAACAATTAAATGTGAACCACATTTATGATATGATTATGTGCCTTATCCTATTGATACATCTGACTTGTCTTAATTTTGCAGCCGCATCGAAAGCCGCTCAACTGCTAGCTGGCTTACAAGCTACAGGTGATGAGGGCCAACAACTTCAGGCAGTCATTGAAATGTGCCAACTATTAGTCATGGGTAATGAGGATACGCTTGCCGGTTTCCCTGTACGACAGGTTGTACCGGCGCTCGTCAACTTGCTCGCTGCTGAACACAACTTTGATATGGTAAGTAGTATTGTCGTTTCAGAAGTTTGAAGGAATAAAATTGTTACAAATTAAGTGCTAAAATTTGTTGTTTTGCAGATGAATCACGCGTGTCGCGCGCTTACGTATATGCTGGAGGCGCTACCCCGCAGCAGCGGTGCCGTGGCACTGGCCGTGCCTGCATTCCTTGACAAACTGCAAGCCATCACGTGCATGGACGTGGCTGAACAGAGCCTTACCGCTCTTGACATGCTATCGAGACGACACTCCAAGGCTATACTGCAAGCAGTTAGTAACCTATTCTAAAATAGACATTAATTTTACATAGTGAAGTGCCGTAAATTATCTTTGATTAGTATGGATGCCCCAACCAAGCTCCATTACACTAATATATTAATATATATATACATATATTCATGAACAATAAAATATCTGAAATTTGAATTCTATTGATTTAAACAAGGCTCGCTTATTATAATGTAATATAAATTTTCAGCTATAAATTAAGGCTTCAAAACTAGGTTGTAGGGCGCAACTAATTAGTTTTTCTATCTAACTACAATCTGCGTTCTATACAGCGTGGAGTATCGGCTTGCTTGACATACCTGGACTTTTTCTCCATCAACGCTCAGCGCGCGGCGCTGTCTATCACTGCCAACTGCTGCCAAAACGTGACTCCTGATGAATTTCATCTAGTCAGAGATTCACTGCAGCTTCTCGCTAACAGGTACAATATATTTAGTTCCCTAATACTGGATTTGTATCTTCCATGATTAACATATTCATTTATATGTATCTTCTGAAAGTTATCATTAATCTTTACGTTGAAAGTTCTTTTTTTTAATAATATGAAATAAAAATATGTTGCTCCTCAGCAACTATTACTCATTCAAATATTATTGTTGTAGACTGACCCAACAAGACAAGAAGTCGGTAGAGTGCGTGTGCCTCGCATTTTCCCGGCTTGTGGATAGCTTCCAACACGACCCTGCGCGCCTGCAGGAGATTGCCACACCGGAATTACTTACCAATCTTCAACAACTTGTTAGTATTAAATTAATCTCTTTTGTTTTTTATGTTGTCGATAACTATAGCTTTGCCGCTTACGAAGTTCAAGTTTGTCGTTCTAGTTTTGTTCCAGATTACATTGTTTGCATCCCGTATTGTAATAATTAAATAGTGTAAATGTTGTTTACTAGTTTCCCCTCCTCAACAACAATATTTATTTGGTCTCACATTAGATACAGGAGCCTTCAGAACTCCAAACTTTGAAGACTTTAATATTCAAATAATTATTTTTGCTGCTATATAAGGTTCTCGATACTTTTCAAGCTGGATAGCTTCAGAGATAAGCGATTTTGATGTGAATAAGTCTTTCATTTTTTATGTCTGTTTCTGACAGCTTGTGGTACAGCCGCCCCTGATCTCAGGCGCCACGTTCATCACCGTGTTGCGTCTGCTGTGGGTGATGTGCGCCGCGTGTCCGCAGCTGGCGTTGGCGCTGCACCAGCGGTCCATCGCGGACACGCTGCTGTGTCTGCTCACCGGCTCTACATTACATCAAGAGGTTAGTGCTCCACTGTGTCAGGTGCAATTTATATCATTGTTTATGTTCCTATCTGTGATACTCTTTCACATAGTTAAAAGAAAGATTTTAATAAAAACAACTCGAATTGTACAAACGTACTTTTATTTAAAGATACGTACATAGAAGTACCTTTGACACCCAATTTATACATAGTTTTGGTAACAAATCTGCTTATCAAAACTATTTTAGCATTTTTATTGAAATTATCTACAACTTAGAATTGTGGACATATAGATCATTAATAGTATATGTAAATTCATATTAATAACTGCATTACAAATGTTGCAGAGGTCCTTAAAACCCAAATATTATCCTTATCTTACAAACCAAGGGAATCTTGATAAAAAAAAACCGTTGTTTGTTGTTACATGTACAGCAAGTAGAATTAATTCCACGTCTGCCACAAGAGTTGTACGAGATCACCTGCCTCATAGGCGAACTGATGCCGCGGTTGCCTACTGACGGCATATTTGCAGTGGACGCTCATCTCGATAAACCCTGGTCAGCATCCCACGAACGCACGGCACATTGGCAGTGGAGAGATGATAGAGGTAAGGATTTTGTTAAAACAAAATAAAAATAAATAAAATCTTAAAGAAACTTAAGAAATTTCTAAATTTAAAACATTATTATCTAAAATCTAACTATCCTATTTAAAACATTATTATCTAAAATCTAACTATCCTATTTAAAAAAGGTGTGTGGCGCTCTTACTCGTGGGCAGAAAGCCGTGCTCTCGAAGCAGGAGCTGCTGCTGGTGAGGAGGAGATATGCCTCACTACCCTGGGCCGCTCTTATACTGTAGACCTGACAGCCATGCAACAGGTAACTAACCCTATCATTGTGTTACTATATTTCGAAGCTTGACTATTGATAGCTTCTATACTAAAAATGTAATTTGTACCATGTGAGTAATAAAATGCTTGTCTTTTAGCTCAACGACCACACAGGCACGGCAAGGCCCGTTCAGCGTGTAGCGCCTGCCCCGCCATCCACCGATCAAACGTCACCTAATTCACCTTCAGCTGGTACTTACAACTCTACTTTATTTATTTCTTTTATTTATTAGGGGTTAAACTATGAAATTGCCGATTTGTACTGAAAAATTGTCTCGGTTTTTTTTTCTAAGATTATTTATTTAATCAAAATATTTACTCTCATTATCTATACATTGCTGCCATCTAAACGGAAGTTCATTTATGCCTTTACGATAGAACTTTTGGATAGAAAAACTGTGTAAAAGCATTTTGTACTGCCTCCTGGGAAGAATTATTTTTTATCACGTAGAATATTGTCCAAATCACGAAAAAATGGGAGTCTGTTGAAGCAAGGTCTGGCGAGTACTGCAGCTCCTGTAGAGTTACAGCGGTTGCTCGTGCAGTAAGAGGTCTTGCGTTATCTTGGATCAATAATGGTAAAGATCGATTCACAAGTCGGGGCCGTTTCACTGCCCGTTTCGCCATCATTGTTCGAAATTAGGCACAGTAAACATCTGCTGTTATTGCCTGACCAGACCTGAGAAAGTGAATAACACCATGAAGAGAACACCAAACAGTTACCATTACCTTTTTATTGGTAAGCTTAGCTTTAAGGCACTGTTGCGGCGTTCTGTCCTGCGGTCAGCCATTGCATTTTTCACTCACGGTTGTCGAAAACAATCGACTTGTCGTCACGTGTTAATATTCGATCCAATATTCCTTCATTTCTGTACCAGTTCAACAGGGCAACACAAGTTTCAACACACCCAATTCTCTTTTTTTTATCTTATTGATTTGATGCAAATGAGTCGATATTATAGGTTGCGTAACGTTAAACCATGCCGCTAATGCCTAGTGGTAGGGTGGTTTGACTCGGATCCACCATTCCTTCATTTCAGCGTTATTTACCTATGTGAGCGGTCTTCCTCCGCGTGGTTTGTTCTTCAAGTCGAAGTTTCCATTACGAAAGCAGTTCATTAGCAGTCTCCTCTCCAAACGCCGCGTCGGAACTCTTATTCAAAAATGCCTCTGATTTTCGAAGTATCCATTTTTCACGTCTAAGTTGAATAAAAGAAACAACTGAAAGTTTCGTGTGAAAAAAGTTTCACACGAAAATCTCACACTATAAAGGGTTTACGTCAACTCAAAGTATCTATTACTGTGTATCAGTATAATTTCATACTTTAACCTCTATTATTAAAATAGGGAATATGGAATATATTTTGTATTTTTTTAAACATTCTACTAGTTATTACATTACCAAAAATAAATATAACACATCCAAAATATAAACCGTTAAGCAAAAAATTTTTTATTCAAATCACTATCACTTTGGGGCAATTTGAACACGTTCATTTTGGCGCGCTTTTTTTGTGACGTCAGATTACACTTTCAGACGAATTCGATGTCAACAACGGAGTGAAGTTCCCAAAGTTTGTAAAAGTTAAAAAAGTGAGTGATAAAAATTAACTTATTACCATGGAAAAGCCAATAAAAACTTATTATAAATATTGTGCCGTTCCTGTGTGCCCAAATAATATCAAAACTGCACCTGACAAAGTATATTCAGTCATTGTGTTGTCTTTCTACACGGGAATTTAATAATTTAACACTGAAAACGTATTAGTTATTAACTTAAAATGAAACAAATAATCACCAGAAACCAAATATTACAAATACACACAACTTGTTGACACTCTTGACAGTGTAGGTTGACGTCACGTTTTATTCAACCAATAGCGTTGCGTTTTAGAAATTTTGCGAAGGAATCTTAAAAAAGCCAATTTTTGATGATTCAATTTCACTACTAAATTAGAATAAATTTCAAAAATAATTGTATGGGTATCTTTTTTTAGCAATAAAAATTACAAATAAAAATATTTTGTCCATTTTGGTGTCACGTGCATATTCCCTATGGCATGTCGTCGGTCTACATGTGACACCTCGTATGTGCAAACTAATACCATTTTCAGAAGCGTCAGAAAATAATAAACAATACACATCTATTTATTAAATTTAAACTTAAACAATAAGTACTCATAAAATACTACATAAAAATTATTTAAATCATTTTTTTAACTGATGATATTATTGTTCAAAACTAGAGGAAAAGGTCTTAAAAAAATTGTATGTTTTAATAAAAATATTATTGAACATATACCTAGCAATAAAGTAAACTGTTTTGATGGTGATGATGATAATGATGATCGATGATGCCTTCAAACATTCGAATATATGAAGCGCACTGAAAAACTTTATATTGATGTCAAATTAAACTTCGCATTCAAGTCTGAATTGAATTATCTGAACGTTGATAGTAACTACATAATGATAGTGTAAAAACCTTGAAATCTTTCGTTTTGGTTTTCCAATATTTTTACAATACTAAAAATTCAAAGACAAAACAATTAATTTTTAGTGATGAAGAATATTCTTAATATATTGTATAATTTTATATATTATTTATTAAATATTTTATCATTATATAAATATTTATATCTTAATCTTGAAATACGATGTGTTGTGTGCAGACCCGCGCATTGCCATGGTACGTTCGAACCCGCTGCTTGCTCGCGCGCTACTGGCCGTGCTACATGAGGTGTACTGGAGTTCGGCAGGGCCCGCTGTCCGCTCTCAGGCTTTGAAGGCAATACTGCGCTGTGTGTTTTACGCCGATGCACAGCTTCTTAGACAAGTACTAAAGATGCAGGTCAGTAAGCTTTTTCATTTATTACTCATTTGCACGTGACCATGTACTCTCACTAATTCTATTTTTCAATATTTTATGTAGGCTAGATGTATTTATTTCCAAATACAGCTATTTGCAATCTGGGACTACTTTATTACAGTTAGAACTGTAGTTTTAGTTAATGTTCTAACTATTTTATGTGCTACAGGCAGTTAGAAATTACTTTCTTTACAGGTAATATCCTCACATATAGCAGGCATGATGGCGTCAAGCGATCTGCGTATCGTAGTGGGTTCTCTGCAGTTGGCTGAAATTCTTATGCAACGCCTCCCAGAGGAGATGGGAGTGCAGTTCCGACGCGAGGGTGTGCTGCACCAGGTGGCCCAGTTAGCGGAGCGGGCTCCTGCCTCACAGCCCTCTAAACATCATCCTATCAAGGTATTCACTTTTTGACATTCATGCAGATTTTAAAAGACATTAATTCCGTAGTTGAATGCCGTATTTAACATCTTTCTTTCTTTTGGAAGGAAAATAATCGACGAATTTGATTTACTCAGCATTGGCGATAGAGCGTATATGTCGGAGTTAGATAACTATGGCAGTAATATAATTATATCTCTAATGAAATAATTTTTACTTTACACAGCCGTATAACGTAATAACATGACGGCTATTTCATGGCTTTAAAAACCGCTTTAGAAATCTGAAAATTTTTGTTGTTATTTTATGAACTAAATAAAACATTTTCCGGCTGCTTTTTGGCTAAGCCATCTCACCAATATATTTTTAGATTATTACTCATAAAGGGTGAACCACTCTCTTGTACCATATACTTAGAAAACATATCATATCCTTATAAGAGAGTAATGAACACACATATTTTGGTATATAATTTATAGCAATAAGGTTATAATATAAACTATAGCAATCTATTAATCCTTTATATTTCTATTTGACTCTTAAAGATTTAAGTTATTACATTAAAAACCAACATTTCAGCATTATTTCTATCCAAAGCCTACATTTGTATTGGTTTTATATGAAAATCGGTTTTTGAAAGATACTTTTTAATGAAATAATTTAATAATTTTTAATCTATCTGCACATAATCTGAAATAATAACAACTAAATTGTAATACTTATAAAAATGCGTTGTTTTACAGTCTCCGAGCAGTGGGAGCGTTCGTTCAAGCGGGGGCGCTTCTCCCCCAGCTTCAACATCGGCCACTTCACTGGATCACCAGAACAATTTATCACTAGCATTCTCCGCCTCTGGATCCTTTGTCACCACTACTATGCGTAAGTATTGGCTTATTAGTAGACAGTATGACCGGTATTTTTTTTTGGTTCTAAAAATGAAACCTAGCTAGATCGATTAATCGCCCCTTTAATTCTGAAAATTGTTGGAGCCGTTTCCGAGATTCAGATTGTATAAACAGGGTTACTGGGTAAGTCGACCTAAATACTTTAAGGGGTTATAGCTGCCATAATTTCTGATAAATTTCACTGTGAAATACCATATCCCAAACCTAACCATTTTCAAGATATTGGAGTTTTAAGATTTCTTATAAAGATTACCGAAATGCCTAATATTTTCTTTTATAACTTATATCCTTTATTATATGTTTTTTTACTGTTTTTGTGTAGTTGATACATTGTTTTATAATTTTCATTACTGAAATTGTAGTTAACTTAACCGACCTAAATTTATATAAGGTCGACATTCTCAGTAACCCTGTATTTACAAGAATTGCTCGTTTAAAGGTAATAATAAAAATATAAACACTAGAATATTCATAACTTTTAACGGAGAATTGTAATTTCGTTTCAAATATTTGTTGATTGTATTTTTATTTCGAGTATTATTGTTTCTACAAGTAGTTACTTCAATGAAACATATTTCACAAAAATAATTCAGCGAAACCCATCAGAAACGAGCTGCTTCCAGAAAAGTCGGTTGTGGTCGGTGGTGTCCCAGTTCTAACCTTACCGTAGGATAGAACTGCGACCTTTTTTTTACGTGTGGAAACCCCCTCGGGCCTTCACCCCAACGGGGTTTGCGGCGGGGTGGTGTGTCGGAATCGGACCGACTAAAACCACACGGTGTGCCACTCTGCATGGGAGAGATCCGGGAACTGCTATTATTAAGACATCCGGAACCCTTCTAGCCATGGAGCGTATGACGGCCGGTAGTGAGAGATTGCAATGAGGAACTGACGCTGCGACGGTCAAGCCGGGCAAATTGCCAGCGTGTGCTGAGCCAAGTCCTCTCTGCAATCGCAGTGATGACAGGCGGGACTCAATTCCCTCCTAGCGACCGAGTGCAAGTACTTCCGAAAGCAGCCGTGCCTGGAAAGGACCTGCGTCAGTCGGAAGGAAAGGGTCCTGTGCTGCCGCCCTGCTCATTTAACTATGACCGGCTGGAGCGCCTCCACGGTGGCAAAACCAGCACGTGGAGCCACCAGCCGGGACGACCAACTAGCCATCGTAGCCCGACGAGCGGTCTCACGCCACTCGCGTACTTCTTCGGACGGGGGCCGACTGCTGCTAACCGCCCGGAACTCAGTCGTCAACAGATATACTTCGGCGAGCACTGCCGCCTCCAAGTCCCACGGGGGAGTCGACACGGTGCAGTAACCGCGTATGGCTCTAACTGTCAAAACCCTCTGAGGTCGCCAGCGGCGCGCCCTATTCTGGGCGGTCAGAGCCATCGCCCACACTAGTGCACCGTACAGTACCATTGACCGGACAACCCCCGTGTACAGCCGTCTCGTAGCGACGCTGGGTCCACCTAGATTAGGCAAAAGTCACCCAAGGGCAGACGCAGCGCTGACCAGCTTTGGAGCAAGCTTACGGAAGTGCTCGTCAAAGAGCCACCTCCCCTCGAGGATCAAGCCCAGATACTTCATCTGGGCCTGGACCGGTACGAGGACCGAGTTGACAACGATGGTAGCGCCAGGGGGAGGACCACGACGGGGCCCATGGAATAAGAAGGCCTCAATGCGCCCAACCACCAGAGAGACTCCCCTGATGGCCAGTCGCGGCGCCTCTTGAAAGTTCGCCCCCCGGGCCGTGACTAAAATATCATCGACGTAACAAATTACACCCAGCACGTAAGGAGAATCAGTTCTAAGTTCCCAGTCGTACCCTATGTTCCACAGGAGGGGTCCAAGAACAGACGCCTGTGGAACACCGCACGACATGGGCCGACACCTCAGATTACTATCTCGGTCCTCGTACACGACGGTACGCTCGTCTTAATAGTTTGCCACTAGCCGCCTCAGGTACTCTGGCACCCCATGATAGTGGAGTGCTTCCCTGATGCAGCTGAATGGCAGACAATTAAATGCATTGGCGATGTCCAATGACACCGCCAACAGCACGACGTCACAGCTCACCACTTCTTCAGTCACGGCCCTCAGGCGCAGCACAGCAAAGCCTGGCTCGAAAACCGTATTGGGCCCTTTTGGATCGGGGCCCACCTCGTAGAGGTGGCGAACGATGCGGGGCAGAGAGTATCCTCTCAAACAATTTACCCGCCTCGTCCAGCAACACGATGTGCCTGTAGGCCGCGACCGAATCTACAGGCCGTCCCGGTTTCCATAATAGGACCAGCTTCTCGCTCTTCGTGCACTCAGGGAAATGTTCGGACGCTAAGCTAGCGTCAAACAGCCCCCGAGGCGGTCTGATCCCGTCTGGCCGGGGGCCGGTGCTTTTGGAGCGGACCCGCAGAACAGCCGCAAGAATATTTCATTCCTCATTCTATGAAATGTAATCCAAACATTGAATTTTAGTGTAACAAAATTTTATGATTGAAATTTTTCGAAGTAAATATTCTGCGTACGATAATATGAGTTTTTTTTTGTGAAATAAATTCTAAAATAGAACGTACAACCTCTTTTGGCACAATACTTGAACTGCAATTTGGTATGTGTTCTCAGCGACATGTGAACCAAGATCTAAATAGTCACTAAAAAAATTCGCGCGTAGTAGAAAAATCATTAAATATTTTTTTTTTCGATTTTTCTTTTCATAAAAAATAATTAAAATGATTTTTTTTTTATTTGCAGAATATTAAAGTTGTAAATTCAGTTAAATTTTAATATTAAATTCCCACGTGTTCTGTTTTTGTAGCAGCCGGTAGTGAAGGTAGCAGTGCAGAGCCAGGCCCCGCTTCCGCCTCGCAGATGTCTGCTAGCACCGTTCACAGGTGGGCTTACCAGTTGAAATAAAATATTTAAAAGATCATCAATTATTCAATAGATACTACATGCTACTTTGTTTAATTCTCTATCTAAATACTTTAAGGGGTTATAGCTGCAATAATTTCTGATAAATTTCACTGTGAAATACCATATCCCAAACCTAACCATTTTCAAGATATTGGAGTTTTAAGATTTCTTATAAAGATTACCGAAATGCCTAATATTTTCTTTTATAACTTATATCCTTTATTATATGTTTTTTTTATTGTTTTTGTGTAGTTGATACATTGTTTTATAATTTTCATCATACTACATGCTACTTTGTTTAATTCTCAAACGAGTGTCCACACTTTTAATATAATTATTGTTACGGTTCTCGCACATTCTAGCAATATTATAAGTAACATTCCTATACTTTCACAAAGTTTAATCACAAATAAAATTTTATTCTAACAAACAAAAAACACATAATCGCATCCATACTAAATCTATAAGTACATAATACCTGTGAGTAAATCTATATACAGGGGTCACACTAAAAGTTTTTAGAATAGGTCAGTAAGAAAAGCAGCTGATGAAAAATTTATTTAAATTTCGAATTACACAGGAACTTCGGGAACCTGTAGATGATGGTCATATATAGATCCCACGTATGATTGCCGTGATGAAACAATATTTTCAGATCGGGCAGTCCTCTACAACTAGCGGAGATGCTAAAACGCAAGCGCGCTGTGAAGAGATCGGGAGGAGCGGGTGCGCGCCACGGGCGGCGCCGAGACGAGCCCGCGCCCGCACACGCGCCGCACGCGCCTGCTCCGCCGCACGCGCACCTGGCGCACCCGGCGCACGCGCACCACGCCACCTCGCCGCACGGTAGGTGTTTGACCGACTTTTGTTCACCTCCCGGCCTTTGTGTTTGGTCTAAATAGATTTAATTACTGATAACTTTCCAATAATTAACGTAGAGCTAAAAGTTGGAGCATTATAAAGTATCAAAAAAAGAAATCACCGACTTTATGACATTCTCCTTAACTGCTGAAAAAAAAAGACTTAATCACGTCCGACATTAACAGTAGATCTGTGACACGAAACACTAGTCTAATGAGCTAAATGGTGATGTGTTTGAAGATATTATGCAGCTTACTATACTACTCTCCTTTTCTTATTGGATTTTTTTCGTATACATTAAAGAACATTTGTTCTTTAATGTTCATTATAGTCTAATATGTAAGGATGGCACAGCGTATCGTTGGACAGGTTCAGGCGTGTCAGTGGGAGGTCGCGGAGGGCCGCGAGTCGGCGGCGCTTCTAAGACGTCGTCGTTCCTGTCGTCTCTCAACCCTTCGCGCTGGGGACGCTCGCCGCACACACACAAAGAACAGGGACTGTTGGCGTCACCGCACACTTCTACAAATCTAACCGTGCAAAATAAGTGTGTATTATAAAGTTACTATTTTTATTATAATTATCTTTACTAATAATAAATAAATTTGGTTAAGGTTCGTTTGAAATTATCGATTGGTTAAGAACATACTGTTTATGACCTCAAATACTACGTTTAACAATTTATTTAATATTCAACAACCATTGAACAACGTAGAATATAAACGGACAATCGTGTACGCGCTCTATAAAGGAAAGATAGTTTTTTTAAATAACATATGAACATAGTTTTCAGACAGGGGTAGTTATAAAAAGAGTAAGCGATTTGTATATGTTTATATTTACTTTAAATTGTATTATGTTTATTATATAGAGAGAAAGTCCGCGAATGGATCCAATGGACCGCAACTAGACTACAACGCGAGTGGGGCGCCCTGGGTGGGTGCGGGGGTGCGCTCGAACAGTTGGCAGCTCTTGCGTCTGCATTGCCCATACAACATCATCGCCGTGCCGCACTGCACCAGTTAAGGGACACGCTCCTACATCATGATGTGTCGCCTTTCGAGGTTTGAACTAGCCATTCAATTTTAAAGTGTTTTCAATGATAAAATATTTCAAAACAAAATTAAATTATTATAGTAGTTATTTTATGCTGGGTTCCCTTTTCGTCGTAAACCTCTGATATAATACTTTATGTTATCACAATTAAACCTATTATCCTACACGTAATATTAATTACTTGTGAGAAATTGTGTTTTTTAGGTTTAAGAATAACAATAATCTAAACTTCATGTTTTGCTTTGTTTGTTTAGTGTATGTAATATAATAATTATTATAGTCCATCAAAATGTTTCCTGCAAGAAATCGCTCATGATTATCGTGGGTAGCCTTATAGTTCAGAGTGATTTATTTCTGCCGTATATTTTATGCTTTACAACACCTGTAAAAATATATTTTTTATTGTTGACGGGATGGAAAATACCTTCTGATCTCCGGTTCCTCGAGGACGCAGGAGCCAGGAGTATGTGGTGTTTCCACTATAAACCACCCGACGGCCGGCTTAGGCGCCCTACTCCGAGCAGGACCCGGACCATGTTATTTCAGGCCCTAGATCGACGCTGCGCTTAGTAAGCCCGCAGCTTACTAGTTGCAGGGCTATCCCGGGGAAGCCGCGGGCTTCCCCTCGCCTATCGGCCCAATCATTATATGTTGCGGCCCAATCACATTTTTCGACCAGGCTGTCAGCCTATCGCCTACGGCAGCAGTTAATCTGCCACCAGAGATCCCGACTGGCAGCCTGCGGCCCCGTCGACGGCTGGTATCGCCGCCGACGTCCTCTACGCTGGGGATCGGCCCTCTCCCGATCCCGTTCACAGTCTCTTTCTGGAGCTTTACAGAAAAATTATAAAAACAAGTGTATAATTTTATTTCTTAAATTTGGGTTTTCATTATCATATATTTTAATTTAAAAAAAATAACATTAGTACTGATGCCGAAATTATCTGTCCAATTTTTTTTTACTGTATTCCTAGTTAAATTAAAATTGTATAAAATTAAACTACAGAAGCTTATAAAACTGCACCCAGTTATACAACTAATTAGCTAAAAAGTAATTTTTGTTCGTGCAGGTGAACCATTCAGGGGTGTTGGGGGCGTTGTTACAATTTCTGACAGGCGTTGAGCCAGAATCGGAGGCAGGTGAATCACGCGAGGCAGATGCCGAAGCACGTGAGGGTACAGACTACGTCACCGCGTGTGAAGACAGGTTACGACTGTTCCTGCATGTATTCGCTGATATGCCGCTTACGCCAGAGTGAGTTTATCCCCGTTTTTTTATATTGTTTTTCATTTACAATGTAAGACAGTGTTACTGTGACAGTGTTAAAGATAGCCTACTGAATCAGCCCGACAATTTGAAACCACTAAGTATTTTGTAGGCAGGTATACGTAGGCATAAGCCTGTTTTAGTAAATCTTTGAGTTAGAAGTACAAGCCTCTATCTTTCGAAATACTTACCTAGAGTTTATTTTCCTACGGGATCTATTAAAAAAATGTTCTCATTTTGAAACACTAAAATAAACACTAGAAAAATGAGAAATATAATATGAGCGCAAATATAGTGAGTATACTCACAGCAGTACTGAATGGAACGAGCTGACGGGCACCCTGAGCAGCGCAGGCAGCAGTAGCGGAGGGGGCTCCGGCGGAGCGGGCGGCACGCTGGCGCTGAGCGCGCTCGTGGGCAAGGTGAACGCCTGCGTGTCGCACCTGGAGCAGTTCCCCGTGCGCGTGCACGACCTGCCCGCCCGCCCCGCCACTTCTGCTCTCAAATTTTTCAACACGCACCAGCTCATGGTGAGTATCTGTTGGAACTAATGTATATCAAGAATAGTATGCATTTATTTAATATATACAGAGAATGATTTCCTGCTCAAAATAGAGGAAACTTAAAACGATCATATAATTGGCTTTTTACTATTATACATCTCAAGAAATCCATGCATACAACTACACAACTAGGGTGTCGCTTACAATTTTTTTATAACCATACCACTGTCGCCTAGTGAGGCATAACGTTAAACAAAACACAAAACAGTCCACAAGGGATTCGTAAAATATACTAATAGTTTCCATTACAAAATTAAACTAAATTAATTTAAAAAAACTTGATCCAATTTCATACAATTACCATTCAGTTTTATTTTCATCGTATCTTTAATTCAACTTCTGGAAAAGCCTTTTTAAATTGTTCATGGTAACTGCATAAATTTTGTGTTGGAATTTCATTATGGTGGTGTGGTTACCAAACATTTAAAAAAATTTACAGTCGAGTTAGGGCATTTTGGAGAAGGACAAGGCTACTTTTTACCGTGATAAACGACATACACGCGGGCGGAGCCGCGGGCAAAAGCTAATTTTAAATTAGACCAACCTTGTGTGCAATCTGTTCGTTTAAAATAATGATTACTTTAATTGTTTTACCAACAGCGCAGATATCGCATAAGATACCCAAAAAAAACAATCGTATTTAGAACCTACTCATTTTTTTAATCGGTTGAAAACCTATTTAAAAAGTGATAGACAGCTACTTTGTTTGAAGATTATTTAAATTACATAAGTAACTTGACTTTACGTGTTGGCATTATGCCTTTGTTCTTTTTAAATAGTTTGACAGTACTCAGATTATAAAAGAATGTAGGATAAAAATTTCATGAAGTGAAAGTGGGTTATCATTAATCCACCGCTGTAATTTGTCTGTGTACAAATATGGAGATGTGTAGTAATAACGAGAAGAAGATACTTACGTGATGTATGCAATTGTTTCAGTGTGATCTCAAGCGGCACCCCTCATGTACAAATTTAAAGCAATGGAAAGGAGGCGTTGTACGGATCGATCCTCTCGCTCTAGTTCAGGCCATAGAACGGTATGTAGCTTTTGCTTTACGGTTCTTAATGGTAATAAGGGATCTATTTAAGCTCATTATCATGCGCCCGGTATGAAGAAAATATGACGAGTAAAATTTAGTGATCGAATGACCTCGTTACATTTTTGTACACAACCTATAGTGCTCACTTTCACTTGTGTGTGTATAACTTGTTCTTAAGGAGTAAACTGCAGTCGTGCGTAGCTGACACACGCACTTTATTTGAAACGATGACTAGTTTATGCAGTAGTTTTTATTGCAGGTACCTAGCTCAACGCGGGTATGCGACAGGGCGCGCCCGCTCGGAGTCAGCGAGCGGCCCTCACTCGGACGACGACGCCGCATCCGATGACGATGTGGATGACTCACTGGCTACGCCACCGAACAACCATCCTACTGAGTATGTATAATGCCTACATATTAACTAGCCAGAACTCCATATTCATTTTTTCAGTCACAAATTTGTATGGAACTCTCGGTGGGCGAGTCCGACTCGCACTTGTTCGGTTTTTTTGTCGATATTACTAACATCCATCTTTTTAATATTTTTACAGCTCAGACCATAAACTGGAGTTCCTAATTGGTGACACAGTATTACCATACAACATGACTGTTTATCAGGCCGTTCGCCAGTTCGGAGAGCAGACGGATGCCGACACTGACACGGAAACACCAATAGGTAACTACAAAAATATTATGTTCTATAAATACACTCCTATTACAAAATTAAAACATTAAATTCTTTTAAAAACTTTATAAATCACCAAATCGAAACATTAAATTGTTTTAAATATAGTACAAATAAATATAGGACGATAACAAAAACTTTATATACAACTGTTTAATGTTTTGTTTAAAATGATAATTATTATGTAAGTGGCATGTTTTCTAGGCACTGCTAAAACAAAATAGGCAATATATTGGCTCTGATAAAATACAGAATTAAGTTCATATGACCAAAGTATTACCATTTTCAATAACTAATGATTTGTTACGTTAACTACGTTTTGACTTTGTCTAATTAGAACGTACACTAATACGGAAGAATTGTACATATAAAGAGGTCTATCTTTATAAATTTTGCTTTTTGATTGGTCTTCAAACTGAAAACTTTAATTTACTAACCACTTTATTGTTTATCATAAAAAAATGTTTTTCTCACAGCAAACGCGGGTATCTGGGTACAAACCCATACTATCTACTACCGTGCGGTTGAGGGAAGCGAGCAACCTCGCTCTGATACAACCGCCTCTAGAAAGGGAAAGGGACAACCTACTAAACTCTCATCTAGACGTAAACCTGATCTACTGTGGAACGGTAATATAAATTGTAGATTTAGATAAAGAGCCCATCATATTCTTAGTTAACCAAAGACACCCTACTATGATAATCAGTGTTTGCTATGCTGATTACAGGTGTGGAGACCACTAATTATGAGAAATTTAGAATACTTTATATTTTCAACACTGCAGTTTCATTGTACTCTGTCACTTGGTTCTCGATGTATAATTTATCATGTTTCATTAGAAATGAATAATTTTTGTACAATATATGGTAATTGAAATACAAGGCATGAAATTGGGAACTATTTTTAAACAACGAACGAGAATTCGGGTGGGAGTAACGTAGTGATGAATTGCCGTTTTCTTTCTTGTCAAAAAGTTCCTTTAAAAAAAATGTTTTGTGTGAGTAGAAAGTAATGCGTTTGTAACTCACAAGCATCGTCATTTTCAAACGGTACAAAAACTTTTTATCATACAGAGGGTGTCGTGCCCGGCCACTCGTCCCCGCTGGTGGCGCACCTGCGCGGCTCGGCGCTAAACTCGTGCGACGTGCGCGACGCGTCGCTGGGCGCGCTGGCGCTGCTGCGCGCGCTGCACGCGCTGGCGCGGCACTGGCACACGCTGTACCGCGCCGCCTGTCTGCCCGACCAGCGCCCGCTGGTGCCCAACTCTGAGTTCATCAACGCAAAGGTGCGTGTGTGCTTCTTTTAGCTCGATCGCTCCCACCGCCTCTCTGATCTGCTGTGATAAGAAATGCAAAAAAATCTGATCACGCTTTATTTTAAATGTCTTTTTTATTTATCGCTGTCTCGTTTCAGCTTGCCGCCAAAGCCAACCGCCAACTTCAAGATCCTCTCGTTATCATGACCGGAAATTTGCCGCCCTGGTTAAAGAAAATAGCCTACGCATGGTAAGTCCTCTAGTCAGCTAATATACACATTATGTATCATACGCTCACTGCATCAAAAATATAGTTAAAAAGTATATAATATAGTAAATAGACATACAGTTCTTAAAACAATGTAGTGACCATGATTATATGTCCATCGCAGCCCGTTCGTTCTGCCATTCGAATGCCGGCACCTGCTGTTCTACGTGGTATCGTTCGATCGCGACCGCGCTCTGCAGCGGCTGCTGGAGGCGGGCGGCGAGCGCGGCGTGGGCGGGGCGGGCGCGGGAGGCGGTCCCGACGAGCGCGTTGCGCCGCGACTCGACCGGCGCAAGCGCACGGTGCAGCGACACAACGTACTGCGTCAGGCCGAGCACGTCATGCACGAGTTTGCGCACTCCAAGGCTCTACTGGAGATACAGTACGAGAACGAGGTCGGCACCGGCCTCGGGCCCACACTCGAATTCTACGCGCTCGTTTCGCAGGAGTTGCAGCGTGCCGACCTCGATTTGTGGCACGGGAGCGAAAACTTTAAGCAGAAACCTACCTCATTCGGCGGTGAGATCGTCAAGAGTCAACCACCCGTCGTCACCGATCGCTCCGCAGACGCAGCCGCGCGTCTGGCCTCGTCCGTAAGGGATGCCCTAAACCTGGACGAGGAACGGTCACCCGAACATTCGGATCTCGAAAAGGAGACGTCGATTCCGTCACCGGCGCCCGATGCCACATTTGTCTCGTGGCCGTGCGGTCTGTTTCCACAGGCCGTAGGACGGAATGCTCGTGCATCACATATTTCCAGAGTGAAGGCCAAATTCCGTTTTCTTGGCAAATTTATGGCTAAAGCTGTAATGGATTCTAGAATGGTGAGTTTTTTGAATATCATTTTTATATTATCTACTAGCTTATGCTCGTGGCTCCGCCTATGTCGTTCCTCAAGCCTGTTCAAAATTATTCCCAAGCATTCTTGTTCTCTATGCAATCCACAACCGAGTAATAGACTTTCTGACATAATTTACGTTATATCATGTTTTTTTTAATACTCAAGTTTTTATACTATTTGGTATTTTATAATAAAATCGGACATATTGACCTCGAAATGACTTGTTTATCTTTTGAAGTCTAGAGGCAAGTACAACAAGTTTTTTGTATTATTCGTACATAGAGAATGAACATCACTTCTTTTCGGAAGGTATCTTGTTTTTATGAATATAATATATTACATTTTCATAAATATATTGACATGCCACTGTCATTATGTTTATTTCTTTAAATTTCTATATATATAAATATTATATTTCATTTTGCTTTCCAAGAATGAGTTATGTTTAAAAGAAGGGTAATGAAACGATATATGTCATTAGAACAAAGGAGTATTGATGGTTTATTTGTATCAGGTGGACATTCCGCTGTCGGTGTCGATGTACCGATGGCTGGTGAACGAGGAGAAGTGGCTGAACCTGAGCGACGTGCGCCACGTGGCGCCGGAGCTGTGGCGCTCGCTGTGCCGCCTGCGCCGCGTGGCCGAGCGCGCGCGTCTCATCGCCGCCGAGTCGCGCCACACCGCCGAACAGAAGACACAATTGGTATGACCCTTACCGAACCTACTTACCGATTACGTATTATAGGTCGTTTACACTTTAATACTGAAATGGTGTATTCAGACCATCATTCTGAGTCGAAAATCATTGGAATTTTATGCCGGAAAATTCCTTTTTTTTATAATTTTCCATTTTTTAGTTAATAATGATATCAAAATGAATAAACAGAACATTTTACCGTAAGTAATTTTACCGTCATACGGTACTGCGATGTAATTAATCAAACAGAAGGAGCACGCGAGGCCTCTCGGTCGGGGTCGGGTTCGGTTGGAGGAGGAAAATTTATCTTCCACTGTACCACCAGGTGAACAGCCAGGGGTACACAGGAAAAGAATCGTGAATTTTCGCACTTTCCTCTTATGGCCGACTTTTATATTAGGCCGTTTGCTGGCTTTGTTATTGGCCGTTTGTTTTTACAAATAGGCAATAAAAAGCGGGAGAATACTGTGCTATTGTAGAAGGGTTTACGTCATCTGATGACCATATTAAACAAAGGCAATTCGTTGATTGACTTAAGTGGACTTAATTACAATTGAAAAAACTGTCTCAGGGATTTTGATATTTTTATTTTAAAGGCTTTCTTCTCATAGACAACTGATAAAAAAGTCTTGAAAATTTTCAGAATTGGATTAATCTGAGTTTGAATGTTACGCGACTCACTAAATCTTAATGCAAAAATAAATTTTATACACAGTTAATCTTGATGAATATTGTGGGAAGGGTTTATCTGTTTTTACTAAAATATGAGTACTAGGCATGCCTTTTAGGTTCTGTCGTTTCCATATTTCCCGGCAATTTTGAATTTGGAACTGTTCTATATTCGAATATGTTTAAATTTTGAATCTCAAAGCAGTTGAAGGTATTAGGATTAAAGATATATTGGAATCTATCAGGTTACGTACGAAAATTAATCTTTCTAAGTAAAATGTTCGTGCAAAAATTTTCTGCAACTTTAGAAGATGCCTGACACGGTTTCAGTGTTTTGAAGAGCTAACATCTGTGTTCAGTGATGAAGCCACATGTCTGCGGTCTGTCGAACGCTGGTATTTAGAATTCCAGCATGGACATGCTAGTGTTAGTGACAAATCTCGCGAAGGACGCCTTCACTGAAGATAACATCATTGCTGTGAGACAACTAATTCTTGAAGATCGTCATGTGACGTATCGAGAGATAGAGGCTGTATTAGGCATCTCAGGGACAACCATTCAGAAGATCTTGCATGAAGTGCTTGGTGTGAGAAAGCTAGTTTGCCATTGGATACCGCATCTGCTTTCCGACGATCACAAGGCTGCCCGCGTCAGATGGTGTAAGAAAACTCTGCAAAGGTTCAGCCGAGGAGAGTCAAATCACGTCTACGACATCATCAGTGGTCAAAGCCGACTAAAGTTGTTCGTTCTCGAAGCACTTCAAAGAAGATGATGGCCACGTTCGTTGGAAAAACCGGCCATATCGCGACCATTGCACTTGAAGATCGTAGAACGGTTAACGCAGACTAGTATACCAGCGTTTGTTTACCAAAAATCATCGCCGAACTTCGAAAATCTAACTCAAAGCGACGCATCATCCTGCACCACGACAACGCAAGCTCACACCGCGCTCGTCATACGATTGAGTATTTGAAGCAGGAAAAAGTAGAAATTCTTGACCATCCTCCATACAGTCCTTTTTTTTTTTTTTTTTTTTTTTAACGTGTGGAAATCCCCTCGGACCGTCACCCCTCCGGGGTTTGCGGCGGGGTGGTGTGTCGGACTCGGACCGACTAAAACCACACGGTGTGCCACTCTGCGCCTGTAACAGGAGGGATCCGGGAACAGCTGTTGTTAAGACATCCGGACCCCTCCTAGCGCCAGCCCGCTCCTGGTGCGGGCTCCGTCTCAATGTAGATGTTCCTCTCTTTAGGCGACGTCCGGCACACGCGGACGCCGCCCCCTCGCGGCTGGCCAACTAATGCGGGTGGAGGGGAAACCCACCCCGTCCACCCGCGGCCACACTCAGGGCGGCATGAGGCTGTGGTAGGCGGGCCTCCGCCGCCCGGTTCGCCGGCGGCGGATCGGGTCCGAGTGGAGGTCGTCCTCCCGGGCCCTCTCCGCCGCCTCCTTCCGCGAGATTACTACCTCGCAGAAGGTTGCGACCGCGGTAAAACAACTGTCGCTACCGGCCATGGAGCGTACTACGGCCGGTAGCGAGAGATCCACTCCGATGACTGCAGTGAGGGCCCGGCGCTGCGCCGCCCATGCGGGGCAGACCGCCAGCGTGTGCTGGGCCGAGTCCTCACTGCAGTCGCAGTGGTGGCAGGCGGGACTCAGTTCCCTCCTAGCGACCGTGTGCAGGTACTTTCCGAAGCAACCGTGCCCGGAAAGCACCTGCGTCAGTCGGAAGGAAAGGGTCCCGTGCTGCCGCCCTGCCCACTCGGCGATGACCGGCTGGAGAGCCTCCACGGCGGCGAAGCCAGCGCGTGGAGTCTCCAGCTGGAACGACCAACGAGCCATCGTGGCTCGGCGAGCGGCTTCGCGCCACTCGCGCACATCCTCGGGCGGAGGGCGAAATCCGCTCTCCGCCCGGGAGTCAGCCACTCGCCGATAAACTTCGGCGAGCACTTCCGCCTCCAAATCCCACGGGGGAGTTCCGGCCAACGCGCATGCCACCTCCGTAGAAACGGTGCGGTAACCGCGTATGGCTCTGACCGCCATTACCCTCTGAGGGCGCCAGAGGCGTACCCTATTCTGGGCGGTCAGAGCCGCCGCCCACACCGGTGCACCGTACAGCGCCATTGACCGGACAACCCCCGTGTACAGCCGTCTTGTCGCGACGCTGGGTCCACCCATATTGGGCAAGAGTCGCCCTAGGGCAGACGCAGCGCCGACCAGCTTTGGAGCAAGCTGTCGGAAGTGCTCGTCGAAGAGCCACCTCCCGTCGAGGATCAGGCCCAGATATTTCATCTGGGCCTGAACCGGTACGAGGACCGAGTTGACCACGATTGAGGCGCCAGGGGGTGGACCACGACGGGGCCCATGGAATAACAGGGCCTCCGTCTTATCTAGGGCCACCCGTAAGCCCAGCGCCTCAATGCGCCCGACCACCAGGGAGACTCCCCCTGTGGCCAGGCGCGCCGCCTCTTGGAAGTTTGCCCCCCGGGCTGTCACGAGGGTATCGTCTGCGTAACAGATTACACCCAGCCCGGGGGGGAAATCGGCGCGAAGGGCCCAGTCGTACCCTATGTTCCACAAGAGGGGTCCAAGAACAGACCCCTGTGGAACACCGCACGACATGGGCCGACTCCTCAAATTACCTTCTCGGTCCTCGTACACGACGGTACGCTCCTCTAAATAGTCTGCCACCAGCCGCCTCAGGTACTTTGGCACCCCATGATAGTGGAGTGCTTCCCTGATGCAGCTGAATGGCAGACTATTGAATGCGTTGGCGATGTCCAGTGACACCGCCAACAGCACGCCGCCACAGCTCACGGCCTCTTCGGTCACGGCCCTCAGGCGCAACACGGCGTCGACCGTCGAACGCCCCGCCCGAAAACCAAATTGGGCGTCCGACAGATCGGGGCCCACCTCGCAGAGGTGCCGGACGATGCGGGCAGAAAGAACCCTCTCAAACAATTTGCCCGCCTCGTCCAGCAGCACGATGGGCCTATAGGCCGCGACCGAATCGGCAGGCCGTCCCGGCTTCCTCAATAGGACCAGCTTCCCGCTCTTCCAGCACTCAGGGAAGCGTCCCGACGCCAAGCTAGCGTCGAACACCTCCCCGAGGTGGTCTGCCATGTGGTTGAGGGCCAGGGCCAGCACTCGGGCCGGTACCCCGTCTGGCCCAGGGGCGGTGTTCTTGGAACGGATCCGTAGAACAGCCGCCCCTACCTCCGATTCCCGGACGGGCGGAACATTATCCTCCCCGTGCTCCCCGTCGTCTCCGGCCAAGGAGGCCATCGACGGGGGAGTGTGTTCCGCCCGTTGTGGGAAAAGGCCCTCAACCACTTCTCGCAGGAAGCTGGGCTGGAGAGTCTCCGTAAGGGGGGGGGCCCGACGCGCGGAGCTTTTGTCGCACCGCGCGGTAAGGGCGACCCCAGGGGTCACGATTAAGACCCTCCAGCATCTCCTGTCTTTTTTCTTCTTTGGCGCGGCTAATGGCCAGCTTCAGAGTTTTCCGCGCCCGTCGGTACTCCTCATGAAGCCGGTCCTCCTCACCGTCTCCACGGTGACGCCGCCGACTGCGCGTGTAGGACCTCCGGGCACGTGTACAGGCCGCACGGAGGTCCGCCAGCTCCTGGGACCACCAGTAGACCTCCTTCCTTGGAGGCCGACGACCTCGAACGCGGGGCATGGCCGCATCGCATACATGCGTAATCGCATCGCGAAAGCGGCCAGCCCCCACGTCGACCTCCTCGGTCGGAGCCTCCATACAGTCCTGACCTAAGCCCTAACGATTTCTTTACATTTCCTTAAATTAAGAAAAGTCTTCGTGGTCAAAGGTTCCAGTCCGGTGAAGAAGCAGTCTACGCTTTCAAGTCAGCCATTTTGAACACCCCCACTTTAGAGTGGAATAAATGTTATAATAACTGGTTTGAGCGAATGGAAAAGTGAACTAAGCTACGTGGTGAATCCTTTGAAAAACAATAAAAAGTACTATAATATTCTAGTTGTGTTTTTTTCTTTAAACGACAAAACTTAAACGGCATGCCTCCTATTCGATTTGGCTGCTCCGTGCATTCATTCACCGAGAAATACTACTACTCTTGAGTAAGGATTGAGAGACCTCATTTAAATTACTATATATTTTAAATTATTATTTTACAATTTTTTAAATCGGTTTTACTTCTAACTAGAACTAACTTCTACTTAATCTAGATAACATAAGTTTTTCGATTCACGATAAGGACCCTCAATCTTATTATTATGATTTATATATGTACGAAATATAGATTTATTACTTTACGTATATAAGAACAAAAACTATTGTTCCAGATAAGCGCGCTCGAATTGGATGGCTGTCCCATCGAAGAGTTGGGCTTAGATTTTATACTGCCGGGTGACGGCTGTACAGAACTGCGGCGTGGTGGACGAGACACTCCCGTCACCGCTCACAACCTGCATAATTATATTGATCTCGTTGCACATTGGCTACTTTACGAAGGTAATTTTAACCAACCTGAAACTATACTTTATAATCGTAACTAACCGTATATCGTAATAAAATATTATTAACTAGCACTTGTTGTCCAAACATTACTAAACATTTTTTAAATTCATTATAGAGTAACTCTAAACATAAAGATTAATTGTTGACTGTGCATAGATTTGATTCAGACGTGGGACATTACATATGTTCAAAACAATATAAAACAAAAAATCGTCTATATTATATTATTTTCCGCAGGTGTTACAAAACAAATGGAAGCATTCAGGGAAGGTTTTGAATCTGTATTTCCACTAGCTAATCTCAAAATCTTCTATCCTGAGGAGTTGGAACAAGTATTCTGTGGCAGTCCATCAGGTAAGACTTAATTCTCTTCATTTTTGTTTTTTTTAAAATGCCGTGAATACATTTTTAAATGTTATGTGTAGGCGGACGCGATCAGCGTTGGGAGCCGCGAATGTTGACGGAGTGTATCCGTCCTGACCACGGGTACAACGCGGAGTCCCGTGCCATTCGCATGCTCATCGACATATTGGCATCCTATAATCGCGAGGAACAACGTCTGTTCCTGCAGTTCGTCACTGGAAGCCCACGATTACCCACTGGAGGTAATAATCCTTTTCAGTTATTTTACAAAAACGTAATTGTATAGTATTTTGCGCTTTATAATTACAAATATTTGTAATTTTTCTTTCTTAAACTAGAAATTATATTTTCATAGAAAGTATAAAAAAAAAATCTTTAACAATATAGTAACTATAATTAAATAATTGTTGACAACATACTAATTGTTGACTTCAGTCGATAAATCGCTTTAAATCCTGCTGAAACTTAATAAAACATTTGGACATTAGACAACAAACAACATATTGTACCTAGATTTTGTCTGGCAAACTCCTTACACCAAAAAGAGCCTGATTTTTTTTCAGTTACCAGCAGCACTCTATCTCTTTCATTAAAAAAATTACCACTACTTAAAACAATAATTTTATAAGACGATAATAACCAGCACTAGTAGTTATATAGGCATGTGATTAATTGTTGTAGGTTTTTGCTTACTCCAAAAGTTTTGTACTTAATTAAAGAGCAATCGACACTTTTTTTTTAGTAGTATAAATTCATACATGCAGAAATAAGATGGTAAGTGAATAACTCTTATTAAAACTTTTTGTTTTAGGCTTTAAGGCTTTGAACCCTCCTCTGACAGTGGTACGCAAGTCTCTGGAGTCATCCCTAGACCCAGACGAGTACCTGCCATCGGTGATGACGTGCGTCAACTATCTGAAACTGCCCGACTACAGTAGCTCTGAGGTGATGCGAGCCAAGCTTCGGCTAGCCGCGTCTGAAGGCCAGCACTCGTTCCATCTTTCATGAGCGCCTCGCCATTTTCTCACTACTGTGATTAATTACTTATCCCGACAGAGTTATTTGTAAACGTGTGACTGCGGTTAGTGATACCTGTAATAATTGTGTTATATTTAACGGTGCACACGCCCCGGACGACTGCTGTTTACGTGCAATCAAAGTGATTTTATTATCCGTTTCGTGACAGACACTGAAAGTGCTGTGCATTCTATAGTTTGTTTTTTCTTTGGATTCTTTTTAGATTATAGAAATATGTTTATATTATATTTTGTGTTAATTTAATGTGATAACCTTGTATATTTACTTTCTCTATACATTGGAGATCTGCTGACTCTCAATATACCTTATAATGAAAATGTGAAATGGATGGATTTTGTTGGTTTTATTATGAAGACAAGCACATTGTTAACCACAGGACTGACCATCCATGCTATAATTTACTAAACCTACATAATAATAGTGCCTGCTCAAATACACCTCGCGAGCGTTCTCGCATGCTACATGCAGTTGATTGTTTCTCAATAAATAGGTTGGCACATTTATATTAAGCTATTTGAAGGACCACTTATCTTATTTGAGAGTCCGAAGAATTATAATAGCATTTATTACCAAACTATCTATATGTTTTAAGTATCATAAATGAGTAAAGAAAAGTGCAAAATTTAATATGTAACAATTTCAATAAAACCATGTAAACAATATTGATCAAAAATGACTTTTTTTTTCTCCTTTCACATCACAAAGGCAAAAACGATGAGAGCAATATAAACATTGACTCCACCCATTCAGACTCCATCTGTGAAAAATACCACAAAAATTAGGACAGTGACGCAAATTTGGTTAAACTCTTGAAAATTGATTTCGATTTAATATTATCTCAGTCTAAATTATTTATAAATCCTATCAATAGAATTTATAATTCATTATTTCAAAGATACTTTCTTTGAATATCTCTAAAACATCCACTTTCTCTAATGTTTCTCACGTTTTTTTTTTGAAGTAGGTACACAACTAAATTATTATTCCTTTGTAGTAGTAGACCTTTTGTATATTTTTTGTGCATAAAGCATTAAATAAAATAGATTATTATTCAGATACAGTACTCTTCTGAATAATAATTTAGGGCAAATTCAAAGATCTCAATGTTTCTGCCTGATCATCTGAACTTCAGAATTGGATGATTACAGAATGTAATGATTACAGGAAGTTTTGAAACATCACATGTTATCCAATTACAAGAGGTATGAGAAGTGTATATGGCTTATATTGACTCCACTGATATGCGAGTCTTTATGGGAAGTATGTGTAACGATTAACGACTGTTGGACTTTTGATACTTGCCGATAAGAATGTCAACTTTTCAAATTTGGAAGGTTTGTGTTGGTCTTTAATTTATTTATTACAATTCGTAATGTGTTTTATTTAAATTTCATTGGAAATGTCTTTAAATCTTGAAAAAAATCTTCATCATTAAGATATATAGATAGAAATAAATGAAACCTAACTTTTATTATCATAATGTAAACATGTGTTCATATCACTACTTACATATATTATTTAAATAGAAATACTGCATACAGAGTAGTAACGTCTAGGAATGTAAATATAATCAAATGAAAGAGATATTTTCTGTATCTGACAGTGTGTAGTAAAATTAAATTTACTATAGCCCATCTAATCTAAGAAACACGAAACAACTTTGTATAGGCGTAACTCACACTACTTCAAATCAAAACTTCAATAACCTTTTCCGTGAAACTTTGGAATTATGAAGCTATTTTTATTTTACCACAAGATACACAATTCTTAATGACTAAATTAAAATGAAAATATTTGAAAAAAAATTTATACACAAAGATGATTTTTAAAAACTTCGTTTCAAAGTCACATAGTTAGGTCTTTTACCATACCGTGTTGCGGCTCTTCAAATTCACTTGAATACGAATAATCGTTAAAATGTACATCACATCACACATCACATCAACAGCCTTTAATAGTCCGCTGCTGGACATAGGCCTCTCCTTAGAAAGAAGGTTTTGGCCTACTATACTACGCTGGCCAGACGGGTTGGTATAGGGTTTGTGTCAAGTTTTCCGTCTTTTTGTAGTGCTGGTGTCCTGCGTTGTTTTGCGCCCTTAGTCGGCTCTAACGAGTCATTTTCAAACCAGGCGTCCTAATGTTTAATACTTAAAATGCATCTGCCATCCAACGTCAACGAAAAAGCATAAACAAAATGAAAAGTAAATACGTTAATGTAGTTATAAATAAATCTTTGTAGGCAAAATTCGTGGTCCGAGTCTAGTCTAAACTAAGATTTACTAGTAAAACCTATGATTTGCCATTATACGGGCTTTTATAATAACATACATAAATCTGTAATCGATTAGTAGAAATGATTTCGGTTTCTCTTAAGAATCGGATGTTGTAGTAATCAATTTGTTTGACCGCATCGCTACACTTCAATCTGTCAGAACTTTCAAACGGTACCACTTAGATTAGATGGACTAAAGCTCTGGCAAAGGTACATCCTCAAGCAACTGTCAGATAAACAATTGACAGTCACATTTTAGGAAACCCTGAACCTAAAAATGTAATACATATTTACATACATAGATTGCATTTAGGAGTATTGACAGTAGCATAATAAAAAGCTTAATGTAAAACATTAAATCAATATATTACTGAAGAACCAGTCACCAACCGACAAAACATTGTAACTTCATACATTTAAAATTGATTGTTTTATTTTCATGACACCAACACATAGATATGTTATTAAATATACAACAGACTACATGAAACAATTAAATTACTTTGGCAACTAATTATACACATCAATCTCAGGATATCTGCTTATGCAACTATTTGGAAAAGATGCAAAATGCTGTCTAGGGCTACGAATATGTCACTATAAAGTATTTATAACACTATAGAAAAGGTTTTTCTCATTATACAGCTTATTCAACCAAGAATAATGTAACTAAATGCTGTTTTATCTAAAACTAGTTGTGCAGACAGGGTTTTAACAATTCTATAAGAACTTTATTGTTTTTTTTTATTCTAAAGTGTACACTTTAAAATGTATAAAATAAATGATCATTTAAGAGATATGTGAATAATTCAGTACAACCATGATAATATATTACTCTTCTTTATATTTATTTGGATTTTATTCCTACATTGCAAATCTAAAAGTAGTAAATATCCCTTATAAGTAAGTCCTAATAATTTAGGACTTTTTCAGACTTTTGTTTGTATGTCACAATCAGGTCCAATAGACCATAGATAGACCATAGAAGATAGTGAATAAAAACTCAAAAACCACTAACTCCCAAGATGTATGTTACATGTATCAAGGTCATTCTGTATAATATTCTTGTTGTTTACATGAGCTTACAGCACCATCGCAAGCCATCCAAGTATAAGACAAGAGCCACCAATAGGAGTGAGCCTCCGTAAACTGCGGTCACCGGTGAATGCATGGTAGTAACAGGTGCCACAAAACAACCCCATTCCAGTTACGAAGAAAGCTCCTGCCTGAAAAATTGATTTTATACTTTTGTACTAAATCTAAACAAAAAATCTCTGGCATACACAAACCAACTTGAACATCTTTATATATTTAATAGTAACATAAACTACTAAATGCATTACTAGTTTCCTCAAGTTCTTATTTTGTTGTTGGATTCAAGATCTCAAACTGATTTATTTTTGTCAATCCAACAATGCCAACTTCTCCAATCAATTTAAGTTTTCATTAAAAAAGGAAAAAGAAATAATAATTTATATTTATTAATTAATATATCATCATCATCATCATCAGCCTATCGCAGTCCACAGCTGGACATAGGCTTCTCCCATTGCCCTCCACTTTTGATTTTGGGCTTCTCACATCCAGCTCCTGCCAGCCATCTAGTGCAAATCGTCACTCCACCTGGCACTCGTCCTACACTATGTTTATAGATTTAATATGTTAAATTAGTAATTATATTAAATTAAAAAAAAAATATTGATCTACCTTTAATAGAAATAGTTTCTAGGACTCTTGCTTTTTTTAAATTGCATGTTTTCCATCTGGCTATCAAACTGTTAGGTTGTAACTCAAACTTATGAATTTTGTACTATACTGCGTATACGAGCCCTGATGCAAAATAGTTTGTCTAGTGTAATGTTTTCTCTGTGAGATCTTTTCTATATGTATATCTACATAAAATATTAAGCTGTTCAACTATCATATGTCGCGTTACTTATGCCATTTTTTAATTATGAACCAATAAACTATTTTAGCTTTTTAAATATATACATATCCTGTTTTAAATTCGAAGAAGTTATAAGTAAAATAGTTCGTCTAATTGTTAATTGATGCAAAAGAGTTTGTCTATGGGTGAGTTCAATAAGATTATTCCTTCTTTGTATAATTATGTTGCATAATTTAAATTTGTAAAAGTAATTCAATGTCATTTGTCAAGTGAGACAGTCTAAATTCTGAAAATTTCAGTCTTTTTCATTAGTTTTCAAATGGGTTGTGGCAAACCCGTGTGTGAAGAGCTTCGAAAGCGAATAGTTTGTGGGGTCGATGTGGAAATCAATTTACAAAATATCTAGACTTGATACTTCCCAGGTCTACAGTCCAATCTATCATTCAGCACTATAAAAAGAATAGAATGACTTCTTGTTTGAAGAAAACTGGTCAACCACGCATCACAAGTGCAGTAGAAAACAGAATCCTAAAGAAAATTATCAAAAGTAATTGGTGTGCTCGAGCTGGAGAACTCACGGTGCAATGGAAGGACATGATTCACAAAGACGTCTCAGCAGTTGATACTTGCAAAAGAGTCCTAAAAAGAATGGGTTACGGATTTTACACTGCTAAGGAGAAACCACTGTTGACTGCTGTACAAAAGAAAAAGAGGTTGAAGTTTGCTCGTGATCATTTAAATTAGACTTCCGACCAGTGACGTAGTATCATTTGGAGTGACGAGTCCAAATTTGAAGTGACAGTCAGCGATGAAAGGAAAAAAGAGATTCGGAACAAAAATTAGGTTATGTTAAGTAAAGAATTTCAGTTATGTTAAAATAAACTTTAAAATGTTCCTCAAATTGTGGTTTCACTTTTTATTAAACATTATTAATTATTTTACCAATATTTACTTTCTATATTTTACGCTTTGCACTACTTTCCATACTAGACAAACTATTTTGCATCGTATATATATTGCTCGTATACATTACACATGTGTGGATAAAGTGAATTAACTAGCTGTTTTATATAATTATCATACTTCTTTTATCTCTGACTAAAACTCAGTTGCCTTTTATCTATACCCAAATAAATTTAATTCAATAAATTATATTTACATTGGTGTAATAATGTTTTTATTAAGCTTATGGTTTATGAGATATTTAATCTTTTTAACATACAATAAATTAACCAAACTTAAATTATTATTGTTTTTTCACAAGAATAATGGATTTACCACTTTCCGTACAGTAGTATTTATTTGTGTTATGGTACATCATAATTTTCTTATCACATTATGTCAATAGCAAGACTAACACTCATTTTGGCACTACCACAAATTGAAATACATTGTCAAAATGTTTTTTTATGTGTAATTCTGAAGGGCAATTGACTGTAACATGATTATATATATTTATTGTAACTGAAAATTTTATCTGCTAGTCTTAGTAATACTTTACTATTTTACTACGAAAGTACCCTTTATGACAGTTACGAAATCGAGAGTTAATCAGAACTGAATTGTGACCAAACTTTAATTACGAGAATTGGTCTTCTGGTATTTGAGGAATAGTAATTATGGGAGTACAATTTATAGCATAGTCAATGCTGTTGGTGCTGTTTTGTATCAAACCTTGTCAAAATCCATTACACATATTTGAAAATTACCATAAATAATAGCAATCTAAATGTTAGGTAACAAAGGTATTTAAGGTTGTACTATACTTACAATTGCAGGTCGCCTGCATAAAGGCACTGTGACAAGTGCAAGAGTATGTAAGAAATGAAAGCGATTTGCTGTATCGAAAATCTTTCTTAAGTCTTCTTTAGTTTCAGGCTCAGGAAACGTGCGATGAGCGCCCATAGCGCCAAGAACTACTGCGGCAGCTCCACTTAACCCAGCCAGCCTTACAAAAGGTCCGGCTTCTTGTGCTAATTCCCACAGCGGCATCTTTATTATAATTGGGGGGGGGAGCTGGGTAAGTGTTCTGTGTCTTGAATAGACCCTGGAACATAGAGTTTAGCGGCATTAAACTTAATGATGATGCATTTTTGGTATATGGTGAAACGTTCGATAGTACATAGCACAATTGTAAACTTACAACGCTACGTAATAAACTGATAGCTCCATCCGTCACCGTATTAATCATAAGCATTTCGGTCAAATTTACCATACCTTATAATTTACTTCTACTGTTTTAGTAACTACAACGAGAATCTGCAATATCTATCTATGTTGATGAATCTAAACTATGTGTCAAAAACAGTGCTGCCAACAGTTAAATGAACTCCCGACCAGATTCAACATCTAAAACCACCAGAAAACCGCTAACGCAAGACGACCCCACTCTAATTCCACTAAAAATTTTTTTAGTAATTACAAAAGACAACCATAAATATATTAATTACTAGTTTTCTGTATTAAGATTTAATACTGAACACTTTAAACGTTTTTATCAGCACCATCATCGTTGGTTCCAGATTAATTCGTTTTTTACCGATTTGTTTTACAACGTTTATTGGAATTTTATATTTGTTGAAGCATTCTCCTTCCAACTTCAAACCACAGCGTATTCCTAACATAGCAGACAAAATATTAACCTTAATTCTATTCCTCTATTTATACCTATAGTCTGTTAACTTAAAATTGACATTAAAATGAGGCAGTATTAAGAGGTTAGTACCAAAATTTTTCAAATGTCAAAGTCCCTTGTCCCCTTTTTAATTTATTTTTCTGTGCGGATATCCCCTCGGATACCACCCACCGGTGGGTTGGTTATGTCGGACTCGAACCGACTAAAAACCACACGCCGTCTCGGGTACTTGTAGCCGGGAAACCAGGTGTACCCTAGATCGTTCTGCGCATTCTGCCACCTCCGCCTGATTCGTCTGCGGTTCCTGGTCCGTTCCCGGGCCTGGTGAGCCAAGAGAGTTCTAAACCTCCCCCGGTCTCCCTCCGTCATCTTCTTCGCAAGCACAACTTGCTTGCAGAAGGAGACGGTGGAATTCCACTTTTATTGGTTTGAATGATGTCAATCTTCATTTCTCTTGTGATACTCAACAGGATCATTAAACATAAAGTGAATGAATTTTATAGCTAGTCTGCCCAGACCCAATATTTTCAAATTTAATTTTTTCCTGGTCCTTAACTGTCCTGGGACATCAAAAAGATCAATCTGTTCGTCTGTTGTAACGCAATGGTTTTGCAAACCGTAGAACGATAGTTACCATTCTGGATTACGTTCTCGAAGTTATAGCCGACATTATTGACTTCTTTCTCGACTCCGAAACTTTAACTCTCTCTCTGGCACTAAGCCTACATCATCCCATTGCCTAAAATTAATAATCCTTCTCTTTCTCAGCACTTCTATCCAATCCCCATCCTTCCTTTCCTATCAAACATCCAAACAAACAGTACTCGCAGTCACAGTTTATCTTTGAACAGCATTTCCTAAGTCCTCTACCTTCTGACTATTACTACTAAGCCACAATAAAAAGAAAAAACACTAGGCACTAAAAGCAAAGGTTCGCTACTAAAACGCTACCAGTTTTAGTGGAAAATCCACTAGATTGGCAACACAAGTCAAAGAATTTACTATTGTCAATGCTATTGACTTAAAAACTCTGTCAGACAGTGCTGCCACCTTTTATTATTCCGTGCAGTAGACTCCGTAAAGATTTCAAAAATTGCCACAAACCTGCTAAAGTAGATTCTACCAACGAAGACTAAAAATGTTGGTATGGGAGTTTACATTACAAGATTCGATGGTATTAGTGTGTTACAAGTTTATTCATAACCAAAAATTGTTACCGAGATAGGTACAGAGATAATTCTATTTAGTTATTTATGAACTTTTCCGGCCGCCTCTCGGGGCCGCAAAATTTTGCAGGGTATCTGTTAAATTCCCCCGGACCTGATGGCAACCCAGGCCAAGCGTGGGTCCTGGTCTTAGATGATGAAGCTCTCGAGCCCCGACTGGGAGGGTTCTTCAGCGCTTGCCTCGATCCAGGTTCCAGGGACAGTTTCCAAAATTGTGGAAGACGGGGAAACTGGTCCTCATCCCAAAGGGGGGGGGGGGGGGCTGCGGACTTATCATCCGTCTACCGGCCCATAGTGTTGCTTGACGAGGTGTGCATACTCTTCGAAAGAGTGATTGCAAGGCGCCTCGTCAAGCATCTTATCAAAGTGGGGCCGGATCTGGCGGGATAACCAGTACGGTTCCCGTCAGGGGTGCTCAACCGCACTACGGAAAACGGTAGAACAACGGCATATCAATAATCGTTTTTACTAATAACCTTATTGACGCACTTTTAAAAGTTTATTGAATTAGTATAAGAATGAAACTTTAATATAATGTAGTGATTTGGTATTAATTACATTTGGAATATATTTTTTTACAACCACAAAGTGTAGTTCTTAAGAATGTCTATTTCAAGTTTTTTCGCTTCAATACTTTAAAATTAATTCATTTCAGAAATTTGTGGGAATAGTTATAAGTGTTATACATTACTAAAAAGCCCATTGTAAGTAGATTTTAAAGCATTTATAATGAAGCAATTAAAATATGATATTGTATGCTTTATTATTATATTTCTATGAAAAAAAAAACAAGAAGTAAGGTTTGTGACAGTTACCGTCAACTCCCGACACTTTACATTTGATGTTGTTTTGTAGCGTAGATATTCATAAATAACAGTTATAAAAATCAGCTGCGGTTAACATGCGGTTTCCGAAGTTATCACGAAAAGTATGATACAAGTCAGGAAACAGAAAACCACTATCTGTTGTGGTTTCAATTGTCTAATTATTCAATTGATTTGTTTGCGGTATATTTTTAATTAATATTAGTTGTTTATTGATAATAGGGCGTTTTATCTACATTTTGCACTCAGTTTGCGGGCAACTTTAATAAACAAAATGCACACAACCCTCATTTATCAAACAATATATAGAGAGTGGCTTCCTTTAATGTCGCTATTACAAATTCGTAATAAACTAAACAGACTTTTGACTGTTTCGTATCTTCGCTAAATTTCAAAATGTCTGCTAAGTACTTTCAAGTGTTCTAAGCGTGAATTATTACTTTTATACATTGAAGGAGGAAAAAAAACTTGAAGCTCTATCAACAGTTTTAAAAGCAAACTATAATGTTTCTGAAGACGATATGTGTTTTATTATCAGTGATATCCAAAGGAATCTTATCCCTCGCTTTAATAGACAATGGCAGAAGCATCGAGGAAAGAGAAAGAGTGCAACGATTGGTTTTATTTCGAATATTTGGTAACTTTACTGAACTCAGAAGTAACACCAACTACTTCTTCTGGTAAACGCGGAAGACCGTGTCTCTTATGGGGACTCGTCAGAATCAACAAAAAAAAAAAGAAAAAATACCGCACTACTCACTAAATATGGCTTTGAACACTTACAATGCCTTTTAATAGACTTGCAACGAATAGTAGGTATATTCGGCAGTATACCGAATACCGAATATTCGGCGAGGCCCCTGACCGAATAGCCGAATATTAGGCAAAAAGTATTCGGCTGGATTTAGCGCCAAAAACTTGTACAGACGTGAATTAAATTATGTACCTGTTTTATGTACCAATGACTACTTAATAAATGATTATAAAAGAAATGAGAACCTTACCCTTCTAAATTTTGATCACCACAATAATTCAAATACATAGAATCCTCCATTTTTAACCGACTTCAAAAAAAGGAGGAGGTTCTCAATTCGACTGTATTTTTTTTTTTTTATGTTTGTTAGCTCAGAACTTTAGACTAGGTGAACCGATTTTGATGATTCTTTTTTTATTTGAAAGCTGGTGCTTCCCGTGTGGTCCCATTTCAATTTGGTTTAGTTCTGATAATGGCATCCATGAGAAAACCATATAAGTCTTAAATTTGCATTAAGTATGTTCGCGACAAATAGACGAATAACTCAATTTCACGCAAACTGATTTCGATAATTCTTTTTTTATTGGAATGGATGTACTTTAAGGGTACTTTGATGAGAGTTTGGTTAGATTCTGATGATGGGATCCACGACAAAGTAACGGAACTCTTCAATTCTTAGGAGCAAATTAACGATACTCGGCTGAATCTTTTATGAGCTATCTGGATATTTGAGTCACCTACAGTAACGTCGTTATGGTCAAGTAATTGTCGTCATCAACAGCCTTTAATAAGCTACTGCTGGATATAGGCCTCTCCTTAGAAAAGAGGTTTTGGCCTACTATACCACGCTGGCCTGACGCGTTGGTATAGAGTTTATTTCAAGTTTTCCTTCTCTTTGCAGTGCTGTTGTCCTGCGTAGTTTGCTCCCTCACTAGACTCTTATGACACCCATGTGATTAAAAGGGGTGGTGACATTCTGTATTCTTAATCCGTCATCACAGGGTAGATTGCCTCAGTTGAGATAGGCGTTTCTTCCTGACTCCCTTTGTTTCATTCAAACGGCGCTGTCTCATTTGAGCAGCATGTTTTTTAGGTCTACCCATATTCAGACAAATTAGTAAGTGTACTTCAGATTCACTAAAAAGCAAAAAATAAACAAAAAATTTTAACAAAAAAAAAAACCGACTTCAAAAAACACTATTCCAAAACAAATTAATATGCACTAAAAAGGAAAAAAAATAAATGCATATTCTTCTACAACTTAATAATCAACTTACTTTTTCTACTCATCTATATGTAGGTACGATCTATGTGTTAACCGCGCAAGAAGGTAGGTAGGTACCTACCTATTTCAAATCTAATTTAACATATACCTGTGAATAATAAACAACGATCAAAATATTTATTTGAGTTCTCCTAAGTAAAATAAAATGAATATAATGTAGTTACAATTGTTATTTTTGGAGTCGGTGTATATTTTGATCTTTGTTTGTTATTCACAGGTATATGTTAAATTAGATTTGAAATGGGTAGGTACCTACCTACCTTCTTGCGCGGTTAACACATAGATCGTACCTACATATAGATGAGTAGAAAAAGTAAGTTGATTATTAAGTTGTAGAAGAATATGCATTTATTTTTTTCCTTTTTAGTGCATATTAATTTGTTTTGGAATAGTGTTTTTTGAAGTCGGTTTTTTTTTTGTTAAAAATTTTTGTTTATTCCTATTCAGA